TTGCAATCTCATCTGGAGATCATGTTCTGTTCCAATGTCCGATATGTTCTGTCTCCATCCACTCTGTCCGACATCCACGACTTCATCTCTGGCCTAAACATGCCTAAACCCGAAGCACCGCAAGCAGCATCGAAAAACAGAGTCACTGCTGCAAACTCGCAAGAGGAAACCGCCAGATTCCAAGATCTTGAACAAAACACTGAAATCAAAAAAAACGAAATGAATCCGCTTTCTGTTCAATAACACCTCGCTCTCATCAAAGCAGCATCTTGCAGTTGCACGGAATGCAGTGTTAATAAGACTTAACGGCAACAATGACCCGGATACCCGCCAGAGGCAATGGTACCTTCAGGTGCGCGCCAATTTCGCAAATCCCCAACTTTGGAGCGCAGAAGCCGGGGAGGAAACCAAAATCAGCCGGAAACCTGTGCTGAGCAAATGTCCAAATGGGTCCATCCTTCTGCAATTGGTTTAATTCGCTGCGTGACACTGTGTCATGGGGGAAGAGAACATGTATAATAACTATCCGATAAACCCTCATGACTTGTTGATGATAATCCCCTTTGCTGGGAAATGGTTCAATCAATTCTTGGTAATATCAAATATCGTATTTAAAAGTGATCAAATCCCTTCTGTCTGTTCCAAAAATAATGTGCCATGGATAATAATACATGCATCTTTGAATATGTTTGAAATATGCGCCATCAATAATATAACATGCATTTTTGAATATTTCTGACATATGTGCCATTAAAAACAACATGCATCATTGAATATTTCTGAAATATGCGCCATAAACATTATCACATGCATCTTTGAATATTTCTGACATATGTGCCATAAATAACATAACATGCATCTGTGAATATTTTTGACATATGTGCCATATATAATATAATATGCATCTGTGAATATGTCTGAAATATGTTGCATCTTTGAATAATTCTGAAATATGTGTCTTAAAATAAATCACATGTATCTTTGAATATTTCTGAAATATGTGCCATGAAGAAAATATAACATGCATCTTTGCGTATTTCTGAAATATCTGAAATACTTGCCATAAAAACATAACATGCATCTTTGAATATTTCTGAAATATGTGCCACCAAAAATATAACATGCATCTTTGAGTACCTCTGAAATATGGATGGTCAATTTCTCCTTCAAGGTTGTGCGGCATGAATTCCTTGGGAGAACCGACTTTGGCCACCGCCCATGGGCAATCAACGGTTAAGCACCAAAGTGCCCACTTGTCCCCGGGAGACATGGACGAAGGGATTCGCCCTGCCGTGGTCAAGCCTAACAGTTCAGGGAGGGTCGTCCCAAAGAGGGGTTGGATGACTACTTTCCTCTTTTAGTAAAATTTATAGGGAGCCCCACCCCACTCCCAAAAGAAACCTCAATAATATCGGAAGGTTATCGGGATGCGGCCCCGTTCCCATTAGGCATGTCCAGAACCCTCTGGGAACATGTTCCACCTGAACTAGGGCAGCAAGCCGGGTGCTGCACTAGGGGAGTGCCAGGAGTATGAGATGGGAGCCCCAAGGTACCATTTATAGGATTCATTTAAAAATATATATGCCCTTGGGGCATGGCAGATTCATAGGTTTGTATGATCAGAAAAAAAGGATTATGGTCAAAAAAAAATGGTTCAACCAAAAATCTAAATGTATAAAACAAAGATAAACTAGATGAGAAAATGTTTTACCTCCAAAAAGACCGTTTTCAATCAAACAACACTTGGCCCTCAATCAACCAAAGATTGGTTCTCAACCAGCCCGAACAAAAATGAAGTACCTGAAAACCATTTCGCTGAAAAAAACAGGGGATTGGCAAAAATCGCATGTGTTTCCCGAATGTGGCAAATCTGTGAAAAAGGCGATCGCTTCCAATTCAACATGAGGTTGGAATTATGCAGTTCATTGCTTTAATGTTTCCCAGTTGGCTGCGGAACGGTGACATGAAAACAAAATGAAAAGGCCAAAAAAAAAAGACAAACAGTGAAACATGTGTTTTGTGCAATTCTGCTGCCACCAGGATAGGAACATAGCGGATAAAGTTTGCACTAGAAAAACAATAACGGATTTTTCTGCAATCATAAATGTCGGGCGCTTGCACAAAAGTTGCAAGGAAACCTGCCATTCTATCTTCAGCGAAAAAAAATGTAAATACTGACAGGGGATTTACAGCAACTTTGGCATTCTATACAGCAGTTGGCTTTGGGCGGCCAGAAGTTAGCTTTGGGGGGTTCCAATTTTAGTTGCAGGCCCGCCTTACATTAGTGACTGTCCAATGGTTGTATATTAATTTTGAATAAATCAAAACTGGGTGATCCAAAAAAAGTTATACATGGAAAAAATGAACAAATATGAGGAATTCAGAGGATATTAAGAAATTCACGGGGTTAAGTTGCAATTCCACCAGGCATCATACCATTGCACCGGGAAAAGCGATCAGTTGGTGAATGAAACAGATGCATCTCCCGGAACCCCACTGAACATTCAAATAACAAGTGATGGTTTGAGGGATCAAATACTTTTGGGGTATCCAAAAAAGTACAAGACCTAAACCATCAGAACGAAAGGTCAGCAGTCAGTACGTTCTGACTTTCGAGCCAATGTCGCTGCTTGGCTCTTGCCCTGATGTGACCATGGCTGGGGTAGTGAAATAGTAGTAGGGGTTGTGCAAGTGGCACAGGAAATGCACAAAGGCTACAACAAAATTCAACCAGAATGTTCAACTTTGTGAGCTGATGATTTGACAATAAATCGACAAACAATTGCAGCGCGTGATATTTTAAAAGGAGTACAAACATAGATTGACAGTTTGACAGTTTGACTTAATTTCGAAGTTTCACCAGCACGCTACTACTGCCAGTTCATTGGTCCATCTTACTACAACGCTCATGGCAGAGGTTTGCCAGGGTCACTGGGTCCATGTTTTGGGGGTTGAGGTTGCCCTACATCCAATCAAGTCTTGCAAGACTTAAGATGTAATGTCTCCAGGGCTCCTAAAATAGTTCAGGCAATTCGTGACTCATGACCTTCTTGAGTTTCAATTGAAGCATTAACCATGCAAACATACAGCCACTTGTGGAAGGGCCGTATACCATGACCATCACTCGCCTGTAGTTACTCACCGGGTCACCACAACCATGATGATACGATAAGCATCATCAATCAATCACACAGCCGCTTGATGTTCAGAACCACCACATGATTCCAAGCTAGAACAATAGGAGTGATATGGAAGCATGGAAATGAAGACTACGAGAAAGCGACAACTAACCTGTATGAACTATAAATCAATCATTGAACAACCAATCATCAGCAACGACAAACACAGTGTGTCAGTGTGTCCCTTCTTTGCCTGCTGCATCATGAATTGAAAAATGTTTCGTTTATTGGTTTATTGTTATTTATCTAGCTGCTAGCTGTTTTATACTATAAAGCTGTTGTGCTTTTAATCTTTGCATCTTCCTTTTTTACAAATATAAATATAAAACATATACATATAAATATAATATATTACATTGATTTATTTCTTTATTTATGTACTTACCTACTTATTGACTTACATATTTACATATACATATATATATATATATATATAATACTCATTTGAATTTAGATACGTATTTATTTATTCATGCGGCCGGCTGCCTAAATAGAACGGTTTCCAAAACACAGAAGATCCAGGGGACAGAAGACATAAAACTTGTAGGCAGTCCTGAATTGAAATCACCGAGCGAATCATGTCAGCTCGCCATTTTTCGGGATATCCAGCAGCTTCGTTTCCATCGCCTCAACTGCAGCGTCTTCTTCTCCCGGGACTAAGCTTGAAGAACTTTGCCCGGCCCTAGGCCAAACCCCCAAGCTAACTAGCTTCGGGCGGCCCGCCTAAGTGCCAAGATTCCACGCCAAGTTTCCTTGCGCGGTCCGCGCCTGTGGTTTCCGCCCTTGAGCCACGATTCCGGAAGTCGCCTTGCACACCAACATTTCCCAAAAATTCAACCGGGCCATGCCCTAGGGCAGGCCACCCTAGGCACCTGACCCTGCGATCTGACGCTGGTGGGCGGGCCGTGAGCCTGACACTGATCAGCTGGGGCAGGCCGCCCTGGGTCTTGACACTGCTCTGATGCTTTGGCGGGCCGCCCTAGGCTGACCTCTCGCAGGCTGTCCTAGCAAGCTGCCCTGGGGCGCGCCTAAGGCTGAGTGAGAACAGTCTAAGGCGGGCCGCCCTAGGCTCACCTCTTGGAACCCCCGGCTTGCGCTCAGTGAGAACAGTCTCTAGGGCGGGCCGCCCTAGGCTGACCTCTGGAACCTGGCCCTAGGGCAGGCTGCCCTAGGATGGGCCGCCTTAGGCTGAGTGAGAACAGTCTAGGGCGGGCCGCCCTAGGCTGACCTCTTCGAACCTGCCCCTAAGACAGGCTGCCCTAGGGCGGGCCGCCCTAGGCCTGGCCCTAGGGCAGGCTGCCCTAGGATGGCCCGCCTTAAGCTGAGTGAAAACAGTATAGGGCGGGCCGCCCTAGCGTAACCTCTTGCAACCTGCGCCTAAGACAGGCTGCCCTAGGGCGGGCCGCCCTAGGCCTGGCCCTAGGGCAGGCTGCCCTAGGATGGGCCGCCTTAGGCTGAGTGAGAACAGTCTAGGGCGGGCCGCCCTAGGCTGACCTCTTGGAACCTGCCCCTAAGACAGGCTGCGGGCCGCGCTGGGCCTGGCCCTAGGGCAGGCTGCCCTAGGATGGGCCGCCTTAGGCTGAGTGAGCCGCCCTAGGCTGACCTCTTGGAACCTGCCCCTAAGACAGGCTGCCCTAGAGCGGGCCGCCCTTAGGCTGAGTGAGTGAGGGGCCGCCATAGCCTGACTTCTTGGAGCCTGGCCCTAAGGCAGGCTGCCCTAGGGCCGCCCTAGGCTGATTGAGAACGGTTTAAGGCGGGCCGCCCTAGCCCAACACCTGGCGTGGAATCCTGGCCCGGAATGCTATTCCGGAATCTTACTCAGGCCGCGCCCGAAGCTGGTGGAGGTTGGCCTAGGGCCAGGTTACTTGGGTCTTCAAGGTCAAGCTGGGGCAATGTTCTTCAAGCTTCGTCTCGGGAGAAGAAGACGCTGCAGCTGAGGCGATGGAAACGAAGTGCTGGATATCCCGAAAAATGGCGAGCTGACATGATTCGCTCGATGATTTCAATTCAGGACTGCCCACAAAAATTTTGCGTCTTCTGTCCCCTGTATCTTCTGTGTTTTGTAAACCGTTCTATTCAGGCAGCCGACCGCTATTCAGTCATATATATATATGTATGTGTGTGTGCGTTAATAAATTGAAGAAATGCAGCTAGATAAATAAAATATAATTCAATAAGCAAAACATTTTTCAATTCATGATGAAGCATGCAAAGAGGGGGCACACTGTGTTTGTCGTTGCTGATGATTGGTTGCTCAATGATTGATTTATAGTTCATACAGGTTAGTTGTCGCTTTCTCGTAGTCTTCATTTCCATGCTTCCATAGCACTCCTATTGTTCTAGCTTGGAATCATGTGGTGGTTCTGAACATCAAGCGGCTGTGTGATTGATTGATGATGCTTATCGTATCATCATGGTTGTGGTGACCCGGTGAGTAACTACAGGCGAGTGATGGTCATGGTATACGGCCCTCCCACAAGTGGCTGTATGTTTGCATGGTTAATGCTTCAATTGAAACTCAAGAAGGTCATGAGTCGTGAGGTGTCTGAACGATTTTGAGGGTCCTGGAGACATTACATCGTAAGTCTTGCAAGACTTGATTGAATGTAGGGCAACCTCAACCCCCAAAACGTCGACCCAGTGACCCTGGCAAACGTCTGCCATGAGCGTTGTAGTAAGATGGACCAATGAACTGGCAGTAGTAGCGTGCTGGTTAAACTTCGAAGTTAAGTCAAACTGTGAAACTGTCAATCTATGTTTGTACTCCTTTTAAAATATCACGCGCTGCAATTGTTTGTCGATTTATTGTCAAATCATCAGCTCACAAAGTTGAACATTCTGGTTGAATTTTGTTGTAGCCTTTGTGCATTTCCTGTGCCACTTGCACAACCCCTACTACTATTTCACTACCCCAGCCATGGTCACATCAGGGCAAGAGCCAAGCAGCGACATTGGCTCGAAAGTCAGAACGTACTGACTGCTGACCTTTCGTTCTGATGGTTTAGGTCATGTACCATCACTTGTTATTTGGATGTTCTTTGTTTTTGGGGGAAAACATGTGGTAACTTTAGCACCTGCATGGATCGCCCCCTGTTATGATATGATACCTGATGAAACTGCAATTTGCCAACGCTTGTTTTCTGAAGAAACATATGGTAGATTCAGCAAGTGAAAGCGTCTTCCAGTGTTATGGTATAATGCCTAATGGAACTGAAATTTGCCCCAAAAAGTTCTGAACTGAAGAAACATGTTGTAAATTCAGCAAGTAAAAGGGTCTCCCAGTGTTATGGTATAATGCCTGATGAAATTTAACTTTGTCCCCACGAAGTATTGAAGGTCTCACCCAAACTATTTGATCATGGCCATAGATTACATTGGTTTTCATCACTTTTTAAAAATTCAAGTTTACTTTTTAACAAAATCAGTTTTACTTTTAGCTAGATCTCAACATGTAGGGGGTGCTTGAAGCTAAAGTTGGGCCACCTAAAACTAAATTCTGGCCACCCAAAACTAAATTCTGGCAAACATTTTGTATGTGTTTGATTTTTGGTTTGGGTTGATTGAAAACAAACCTTTGGCTGAGTGAAAACTAAATTTAGGGCCAAAAATACAAGAAAAATGAGGCAAAATATTCTCTATAGCAACTTTATTTTTTTTTGCATTTCAATTTTTGGCTGAACCATATGCTGTGTATGCCCATCAACCTATGAATCTACCATACCCCTAGTGCAGACAAAGGGTTGCCGCCCTAGTTCAACTGGAACGACTTCAGAGGTGGTTATGGACATCCCTACGTTCCCATCATCCGGGGCCCCTATAAAGTATATGGGCTCTTACATGTACTATTCTCAGGGTCTATGTTGCTGGGGGGGTTGTGTTTTACATAGGTGGCTCAAAACTCACTCTAATTCCATCCGACTATAAGCCTAGATCCGATATATCAACCATGTGGATGCTAAAATACTGGTCAGCATGTCGACTTGATACTTGGCACAAACATTTTTAAAACTTGATATCTGCCTGTTAACTACTTTACTTCGAGTTATCCCCACCATGACATCTATCCGTTTTGTTACTAGCAAATCTTCTGGCATTCTATCTGACATATCTTCTGGCATTCTACCTGGCATATCTTCTGCAATATGTTCTGGCATATGTTCTGGCAAACATTCTGGCACTTTATCTAGCATACCTTCTGGCATTCTTTCTGACATTCTATCTGGCGTTCTATCTGGCATATCTTCTGGCATTCTATCTGGCCGTTGAGGTCCAGCGGTGCTCACTGAGCTCGGAGGGTCCCAGGTTGAGGTCCAGCGGTGCTCACTGAGCTCGGAGGGTCCCAGGTTGAAGTCCAGCGGTGCTCACTGAGTTCGGACGGTCCCAGGTTGAGGTCAAGCGGTGCTCACTGAGCTCGGAAGGTCCCAGGTTGAGGTCCAGCGGTGCCCAGTGCGCTCAGACCCTTGCAGTTGAGGTCCTGCAGTGCCCACTGCGTGTGGAAGTTGGCGAAGAGCTTGGCGAAGAGTTGGCAAGGCGGAAGTGCACATGGAAGTGGAGGCAGAGGTGGTGGAGGAGAAGGAGGAGGAGGAGGAAGAGGAGGAGAAGAAGGAGAAGAACAACTCTGATAAAATCTAACAACCCTCACCTGGCAGGTGGTGAAAAACATATATAATATATTAGTAAATTCCTATAATATATATATAATATATATATATATAATATATATAATATATATATATAATATATATATATATACATTAAATATATATATATATATATATTTAAAATGCGTATACATGCAAATGCCTTCTCCACCGTTTATTCTTCTTGAAAACCCCATTCATCTACTTGTTAAGACGCAAAAACAACTTCAAACATGAAAAACATTCTGGCTGTGACCACGGCACTTTTAGGCATCATGCTGACGGGGGAGGGCCATTTCAATCCTCATGGTTGCCAGGCAAACAAATCTGGTTCCGAGCCAGCCCCGGACACAACCCCTGGGTGGTTTAGTTGGAGGTAAACCCATTTAATTAATCAAAAAGGCTCTGGAGTCAACGGGTTCTGGCAAAACATGCAGGAAGTCATGCTGAAGCCATTGAATTGTGGAACAAAAGCACGCACGGGCTTTGCACTGCATTTCTCACGCCCGGTTCTGGGCAGCAATCAGTACACATTGACGTAATTACTACTTGCGTACATGTTGTGTTGCAGGTCCAGCCAATTGTCAATCATATCAATCGTATGTGAGAAGGACACGATCCAGAGAGGTTTTACTTTCATACCCATTGAAGTCTCAAAGCAGTGAAGTTTCAGTTGAGCCCTTTTAAGGGGATGCCTCAGAAGTAGGAACCCCAATATCCCATAGCTTTGGCACGTCTTTTCCCCACATGAATTCTTATGAATTAATTGCTATTTGGGACGAACCCAAATTGCCTTTGACTGTGTAAGACCATTGTTTGCTCATGGACATATCATTCTATGCCCACTTCCTGCCCATCAACTCAAACATCCAGGATTTTCCCAATGACCCACTTTAAACCCTTACATGTCAACAAGATACAAACCAACAAAAAGACCTGGCAAAGTAAAGGTACACCCCCCCACACACATCGACACAGACCCTGAAACTAGCAACTTTTTAGTGGAAACTCATCTTCCAAATTCATTTATGGGAGGGTAAGCCATAAATACGTCCAATCAAGCAATCACCTGACCTTCCATGTTCGGCCTTGGCCGCCTTGGCCGCCTTGGCCGCTTTGGCCTCCCCCGAAATCATCCCTTCATGGGATCCCAACAACTTGGGCCGCCTTGGGCGCTTCATCTCCAGGGCAATTGCGCCGGCTGCAGCCTCGATCGAAAAGGTTTCACCAGCTGAGGGTCTTACCTCGGGGTGATGAACATGTTAACTTCTGTTAACCCAAGGTTCAAACAAAAATCCATGATAGTTCTTAAGTTTTTCAGGAAATTCAATTCAGTTTATGTTTTGATGGGCAACCCCCGGCCGCGTTGGCGTTAACCAAAGCTTAGCTTATAAACCACCATCAGCTACAATTTCCTGAAGCATGTTTGCAGATTTTTGTGGGTAAACACCAAAGATGGCAATGTGATACCACAATAATTATATCACAATCGTCCCCTCAATGATATCCCGCAAAAAGCAGTGACACTATCATGTTTTTAAAACATCTGTATCCCTTAAATATCACATTCAGACCATCCCCCACTTGTGTTTGAAACGTGCCCACTTAGATGGCTGGCTGATGGCTCCCCGCTAAAATGGAGAGACATGGGAAGATACAATATTTCATGGTATCCTCTGGTACCCCACTTTGGCAATGTGTGGAGCTCCCCAACGGGGCACCCAACAGGATCTACGTATATATATATATATTTGTATATAAATTATTTATATATATATAATCATTTATTATCTATTGATTTATTTGTTTACATATATGCATACATTATATACACATATATATATATATTCATATATATATACATATATATATACATATATATATATACATATACAATGATTCATGCATTTCTATGTTAAACTGATGTAAGGGCCAGCATCCTATATACACAACCTTAATAACTCAGTTTAGGGACTGAAAAAGGGCTAGCGACTTCTTGGCATGGAGAACCAAAGACTGATGAAACAGGATGCACTTCAGATTCAAGATGGGTCCGAATCTCCCCGAAATTTATCGAAATATACAATGTATCATATCACTGACACAAAAACACCAAATGCTTCCAAATGCACCATCTCGAAATGAAAAAATAATTTAAAAAAATATGTCCGCAACCCTTCCCTTGATTTCCTTGATGTTCCATGTGTGTTTGGGGCGGAGGTGTTCCACCCGTTTGGCATTCACAGTTTGGCATTCACACCACCCCTTCGCCCAGCTGCGCTGGTTGTAGACAAGGATGGGGTGGCGGCACCTGCGGAGTGTACCCGGGTGGTCCCAAACTGCCTCACCTGGGATCATCACGACATGAAAGCACCAACCCCCCCAAAAAAAAAGATGAGTTGCCGTGAAATGGAGCCTCCCCGATTTAACCAAATCTGTTCTCTTTAAATATTGAATGGCAATCTTTCGGCGCCCCTCCGAGTAGGCAACCGGAGATCTTCTATATAATTGGTTTCTGCGGATCCATTTGCGTCTCTTTTGTGGGGTTCTTTTGTGGGGTCAAATGTTAGGGAAAGTCAGGAACTACCAATAGATCGATAATGTGTTGGTTTCTTGATGTCTCAGAATTCTTTGTGATCCTTCAATTTTTATATCATTTCAAAAGGTGGACCGGTAGGCCTGTTACTGTTACTGTTGCCTTTTCATCTGGGTGGTACAAGTCGTCTTGGATGTCATCATGTCAGCTAAATGGGGTAATAAGATCTACAGCAACTGGGGCGCTGGGGTCACCTAAATCACTGGTGGCGACAGTGGTGACATTGTTTTTTAACCCACAGCGAAGGCATGAACAAATAAATTCGATGGAACATTCACCGTTTCCATAATTTGTGTGGGGTTGTTGCAGGTTTTGCTCCTCGAAAAATACTGAAAAACTTAGATGTTTATGGTTTATCATGATGTTTCCAAGTATGTAGGGCCAGCCTCCACCTTGAAACGAAATTATAGTACTGCTGGCGGTTGGTTCATCACGTTTGATCGTAAATTTGGTGCCACACCATGTGTGGATTTTGCGCCTGTTCATTTCTGCTTCGGGTTGGTCGCGTGCTCGCGGGGAGGCAACCTAGCCAAGACATGCAAAAACAGGAGCAGGAACGTTGCATTTGTCCTTACAGCATGGCCACTTCTTCGAACCAACAAACCATCAACCAAAAGCCTACCAGGAACTTGACGTGACTTAATTGTATACACTGTGATTTGGATTGATGATTTCAGTTCCTGTCGGCCACCCTGAAAAAAAACGAAAAACACATACTTCATGATTTCATTGCTGTTTATGGGCCGCAAAGCAGGCAAACCAATTCGGCTGAGAGATGGGTAGCAAAAATGATTCAACAGCAGGCTGCAAGGCCATACAGCGTCATCAATATGACAACACTAGGACTAGACGTCCCAAATCCAAAATCCAAACAAGTCATCACCGAGCAACGACCATGCTGCCTATCCGTCCCCATCGTTGCTGGTTAAAACCCTATAGCTAGGCGGTGATATCCACAAACCATCACCAGGGATCAGCTGTGCATTGTTGTTTTTTGTTTCCCGTAACACCCATATTTTGAGGGTCCATGATCGATACCACAAAAAACATCCATATAGATGCCAACATTCTACTCCAAAAAAATACTTGTTAACAAGATGTCAGAATGCCATACATGGAACATATGGGAAATGTTTGCTTCAGTCTTTCCCCGCTGAGCTCGTCAAGCAAAATTGGATAGTTCGATTGGTATGATTTGACAATGGTAAGCCGGGAAACCATACCAAGATATACCACGTATATATACATATATACATATATATATAGACTCGTTCAGCGCCACAACTTTTGTCGCTCTGCAAGGTCAAGTGTATCAAAATTAAAAAATCACCGAAAAGCTTTTCCCCACCAAGAAGCACAAAACAACCAGTCCAGGGATTTCAATCCCAATACCCCTGGAAACTCCCAGCCAAACCTAAAGAGATTCCAGCCAAGGTATTAGCAATAGGGCTTCCTTCTGTCCGGCCAAACCCAAGATCAGAAGGACTAAACCCATGTGTCACGCATCCAATGCGTTTTTTGTGCTTTTTTGTGCGCTTGTTTGCCTTCTTCCGGGGGGGAAAGTGAAACTAGGGGGGGCCCTTAAGCCGAAACTCCAGGGCAAAAGTATGTTAAAACTTCACTCATCTATTCAACCGAGGGCGTTAAATCATAGACTCGTTCAGCGCCACAACTTTTGTCGCTCTGCAAGGTCAAGTGTATCAAAATTAAAAAATCACCGAAAAGCTTTTCCCCACCAAGAAGCACAAAACAACCAGTCCAGGGATTTCAATCCCAATACCCCTGGAAACTCCCAGCCAAACCTAAAGAGATTCCAGCCAAGGTATTAGCAATAGGGCTTCCTTCTGTCCGGCCAAACCCAAGATCAGAAGGACTAAACCCATGTGTCACGCATCCAATGCGTTTTTTGTGCTTTTTTGTGCGCTTGTTTGCCTTCTTCCGAGTCCCCCTGCTCTGTGCCTTTGGCACGAGCTCAAGTGGAGGCAGGGGTAAGGTGAGACTACGGGAGTATTGCTGACGAAATTTTTTTGAAAATCGTGTCCACGGTAAGGAGAGTTCAGCTAGGACCGATAACCCTTCATTCAAATAAACTCTTGCAGTCTTGGCGGATTGCCAACGACCAGCTACCAAAAGCCGATCAAAATTGCTTTGGTTTGAAAACAGATAGGTTGCCCCTTCCCTTCGCAATGAGTAGGGGCGAAAATCCCACTGCGAGAACCCCAATACGGACATAACAGCGGAGAATTCTTTACGCCATTGATGCGCTGGACCCGCGAGAAGTTGGTTCGAAGGGGAATTCTGCACCCATTGATACAAGCGTCGGCAAACATCTTCAACGTAAATGGTGACAGACTCTGCTGCCCCCTGACGCTTGCCACTTTTGGTTAACCCCAACGATATCACAGCGGGACCACGCGGCGAACGAATAGAAACTTGACTCCCTTTAATCTGCAGGAGTTCTCCCGTCCGCAGGAGCCCATGAAACCCTAGCAAAAAACTGAGAGCTAATCTACAGTTCTGTTTAAAAGTTGCGTACCCAACCATGGCATGCAAGACTTCTAAAGGCAGAGGAAGAGCTCTGTTTGGCACCTCATGCGTTGTCCAAGTTTTCAAAAGACGCCAACTTTCCAAAAGTTTGCCTTTTAATTGAGGCTGGGCATCTTGTAATGCCGCAAGGATATTTGAGCCTTCCGTGCGACCCGCACCGGTGGCCCACAGATGCTCCATATAATCACTGACTATTGCATCCAAAGCGACACCATGGTTAGGCAAGGTTAGATGGTGGTCACGCAAGTATGTGTAAAAGTTTTCACGTGCCTGAGCATAACGTGCCTTTGTAACAGGTTGGACGGTCAGTTCCCTTAACGTACCTAAGCTTTTACGGATTTTTACCCTATCTTCTTGCGTCTTTCCTTCCAAACGTCTTTTAGGCATTGGACCATTTTCTTTTCCGGGGCCGCCTACTCGGGGCGTCCGCCGGATTGTCCTTTGTATTCACGTAAGCCCACAAAACGTGGGAGTTGGTCGCAAGAAGCAGGGAATTGATCCGAAGCAAGGTACGTTTTAGCTTACGGCTAGATGACCGTCCTCTACTCAACGCATGCAGGCACACTAAAGAATCAACTAAATGCACAAACTTGGAATGCGTAATTCCTTTGCGTTCAATCCGCCACCTCAAAGCCGTAAGAACGGCTCGAAGCTCAAGCACATTAATATGCTCAGCTTGTTGCGACCAGGTCCATCCACAGATGGTACGCCATTTCCACAACTTTGATGGAATGGACGCCCTTAATCTCTGATATTTGACCTGATCGTCCGTAGACGGCTGAATCAAAAGGTCATCACCTTTGATACTGATCAACGTGCACAATTTCCGAACCAGCTTAAGCTCATTAGCCAGGTGCCCCACCCGTCGGCAGCTTCCCATCATAGGCCGCTGCAGGTAGGTCTGGAAATCCGTTTCACTTCCTGGTGCGGTGCGTTCCACCAGATCTTGTACCCTCAAGTTGGGATTCAAACCTAAACGAGCTCCCAGCCGGGATAGTAACCACGCAATAATGGTAACATTCCAGGAATTTCCCACCAATGTCAAACGGCAATCCTGGTATGCTTGCGAACCATGTTTGCTCTTTGGCATACATTGCGCAGTATACCCTTTGGGGAATCCCATTATCACCTCTCTTTCCTCAACATCAGGAATGCGCATTGCCCCATGTTTGTTTGAAAGACAATGCCGTGCTTGATACTGATAGGGAGGAAAACGAAATGAGTCTTGCGTCCACCTCTTAACATCATCCGGACAACACTGTCGAAGACCTGCAGGCTTATAGCCTGGTGCCGATCTCGGCCTAGAGGTGGTAAACGTTGGCAGTAAACCTTGATCAACCATAGACCATCCTTCATGAAGATACTTTGCTGGCTCAACATGGGCCTTTAATGTGATACGTGCCCGACCAGACGGAAGAACATCCAAAGTGGCATCCTCTTCAGCCACCAATTCCCATTCCGTCCAATACAACCGTGGTCTGTGAGCCAGGCTCACATTTCCAGCATCAATATACCAAGGTGTAGCACCGAAACTAGCCGACATGATCTCCTCGTCACTCTGGTCCATGGATGCCACTGATTCCATCAAAGTCTGAACTTGGGCCCACGGAAAGGCTGCTTTCAGCAAATCTCTTACGCGGGGTACATGCTGAAACACAGCACTACGTTCATCTCGGAGCGCTCCTTTTCGTGCAGCATTTAGACCTGATACCCCCTGACATGGGGGACCAGCCCCCAGCAGTATGAGGCCCACCTGAGAAAATTTCAGGGACCAGTCTTTAACCATCTCACCAGTGATGTCCTGCACATTTGACACATGAATAGTGTTGGGAAACCGTGATTCAACAACTCGGGCTGCTTCCGGCGACCGCTCAACACTAATATGCCCCATTACGTTCCAACCAAGGACGTCAGCGGCAACTCGTAACCCACTGATGCCATCGAACAACCCCACGGTAAGCACACCCGTAATGTCTGTTGGCTCCACCACATCCCCCCGTACAGGACACTGGGCTGCCACACAACCCGCAGGCGATAGCTTGTTGGAAGCCGTAACACCCCCGCCCGTAGTTGACGCGTCACTAGCGGTTACCAAGCTACTAAGGCGGCAACGGAAGTCCATGTAAGCCAAAGGAATCAACCCTAGAAACCTTGCCAATTCTTCTCGGACCTCTTCAGGCAGTTTCAATTTGACCACGGGGGGAAATCCTTCAAAGGAGCAGATAAAGGTCCAAATAGCGTTAAGGCTACCTAGGAGCGGTCTCCTGAACATCGCCAAATAAACCAAGCCTCCACCGACAATCTGCATCTGTTTCTGTGTGGCTTCACCTGCTTCAAGCACAAGCCTGGTCAAATAAGCGTACCTGAGAACCTTCTCCTGCTTGGGATACGCAATTCCGGCTTTACCATCAACCACCGCACCTTGAACTTCAGCAAGAGTTTGACTCGCCACCCCTTTTCTAGGGTGACGGGGAACCTTCAGCAATGCATACTCCTCCCGTAAACTAGAAACCAACGGTGAAACATGACCTGCAATAGCTTCCGCATGTCCCTTTGAGACTTTGCGAAGCTCATCAAAATTATCAAAATAAATTCTCATGAGGGGATTGCTCGTAGTGAAACTTCTATCCTTTCGCATTTCGACCTCCCCCCCACGGTGACACCGTACCAACGCCTTCTTGGCAATAACCCTGTGCACATGTTGGGCTAACGCTACGCTGTTCTTAAAACCCATTGGTAAGACAGAGCTACACGGGTACCATACTCCAGGTTTATCTCCACAGAGTCGAGCAGGAAGAGGACGATTGAAAGCCATGAAGCGATGCCAGCTAGGGGGGATCTTGAAGATGTAAAAGAAACATCGTACATCCTCACTGGAAATCACCAGATCCTCATCACACAAAAGTTCCAAAGGCGTCATCCCAGAAATTGACGGCAAGGTAGCAATGTCGCTGTCCAACCCTCGACATACCGCATTCACCGGCACAAGGTTCATAATGACCCTCATCACCTCGTAGTTCCCCTCAAACTCGTGCTTAGACACCCCGAATAACCCGTTAAGAAGGGGCTTATCCTGAACCCGATAGATCTCGTCTTCATGCACCATGCTAAAGACTCCCCTCTGCAACATATTATCGCAAAAAGCATCCCAGCACTCTGGTGCAACCATCACGCGCGGGGGGCGCACATAGACCTGATCTTCTGGCGCCAACAGGTACGTGTCGAAATTAAGCGCATAGTGATGAGAACCCAGCTCAACCACCTTCTCTAACTCCACCCCTCCAATCTCAACAGGCAACGCAGGGCTGACATTTTCCCACCTAATCCACTGTGCGTTCAGGATTTCATCACCTTTATAGTCGACCCCTCTTACACAAAAGAAGTCATGCCACGAAAACGCGTCCAATCGCTCAGTCCACTCACACACCCGCTTGCACGCTGGTAGTAGACCTTCAAGAACTTGCTTCTGCAACTTGGAAACATTCTCTCCAACAAATTCAAGTCCTTCCCCATTAAGGGAATTCAAAGAAAGCCCTAACACTTTGAGACAGACCAACCACGACTCCCTAGCTTCAGAAAAAAGGTGGCGTAGCAGCAAGAGGGATGTGGGTAAAGGAAAAACTTTACCCGTGGGCGCGACCTTACAGAGCCTACACCTAAACAAATCCACCTTGCTTTCCAGCCACTTGAAAATCTGTTCTATTCCGAAACTAGTGTGGTCGGCTCCCAACTTTTTCCAGCATTGGCGCGGCCCAAGCCTGTGCCTTGGCTGTCGTCAGCTGTACCTTCATCCACATCGGGAGAAGATTCATGCACACTACCAGGAGGAGTGGCAGCTCCTCCACGGAAAAAGTGAAACCCAACCGGGAGCTCATTGACTCCCTCTGCTACCGCCCTACAGTCTTCTCCCTTTCTCTGCATCGTCCTGGAGCTTCTGCCTGCGTCCTCACTTCCTTTACTGTCGCATCCTCCTGTTGCCTTTTTTCTTTCACTCCCATCATCCTCGGGAGTATCTCTAAGAGCGCAAACCTTTTCTCCCTCTGCTATTCTTCTTCTTTTTTCTCCCACACTCAGGAGTTTTTCTTTGGCGCCTCGGGAGCTTTTCCTTTGTTTTTGCCCTTGTCCTTTCCTCCTTCCTTGTCCTTGCCTTTCCCTTTTCCTTTGTCTCTTGGCCAGGCGGGACTGCTCCCTTTCGCCTTCATGTCGAGTGCTGCCTCCTTCTGGGCTAACTGGAGTTCTGCCCTTGACGCCACTCCAGCGTCCACATTGGGGATTATTTCTAGTTTCTGACTCGTGGCCCAGCTCTGGCCCGCCAGGGTCATCTCTAAGCTCTTCACTCGCTGCACAAGGCAGTCGCAGGCCTCCGCTGCCCTGCCCAGCAGGAGATAATCTCCAATGCACACCAACGTCTCTATTTCTCGACGAATCCCACCACTGGCTTTCCCCAAAAGGTACTGCCTGGCATACTGTGAAAGCACTGGGGGGAGACTCCCTTCTTCCAAATGCCACGGGTTGCCGCTGCTCTGCATGATGTAAGACTTCATGGTCTGCAGCGACGATGCCGCCAAGACTCCTGGGGCCATCGTTGCAATCTTCTGCAACTTTGACCTGTCCTGCAGCAAGTCGTCCTCCACTGTCTCCCCCTCCGAGGTGCTGGTGCTGGAACTCGCCGACGAACTGCTGGACGAGGTTTTTGCCTTTTTTAACTTCTTTTTCATCCGGGCCACAATCCTTTTCCTCTTTTTGCTGTCCGGATCGAGCCCCGTATTCCCGTACAGAGCCTCCAGGGGTTTCTTGGCCTGGCTTCGGCCCCCCACTTTTTTCTTTTTCTCTTTCCTCTCTTTCTTTTTCTTCTTTCTTTTTCTCGCCTTCTTGGACTCTCCACTCTGGCTTGACTCCTCCGCTGCTTCCTTTTCTTTCTTTTCTTTCTTGTCTGTCTTCTCTTTCATCTCTCTCCTCAGCTCTGCGTTCTCGTCGACCGCAATGAGATTCTCTTCCCATCCTGTCACACTGCCTGGCTTGATGCGCTGAAAGTCTTTAAGGTGAAGAAGATCAGGATTGCTCCTCAGCTGGTCGCAATCTCTATGGCACAAATGTGCCCTGAGCTTTATGCCTGGCTGCCCAGACACAAATTTCAGGAGGTTTTCCGACTGAGTTCCAGTCACAATGACTGTAGCTTCAGCCTCTCCGTCCTCCACCGACACCTTTTCTACTTTCAAAGCTACTTTGCAGACCTCACCACTGTAGTTGGCTTTTTCACTTTGAATCCAATCCCCTTTCTTGAAGGAACCCAAGGGGTATGCAGAGGCGGGTATGATGTCTCCCGCCTCAAATTTTTTCTCCCACTCGCCGGGAGTTAGGACAGGAGAAACTTCTCCCTCTGCGTCAGCCGCCCCAGCCTCTCCTCTTGCTGCAGGGCGCCGCAACACTGCTCGTCTCGGCGCTGGCTTCGCTGCGGCAGGCCTCCTCGACATCAACGCCCCCCAGCAGCTTCCTCACCCCGACGATACCCCTCAACTCTAGCAGCCTTTCTGGTTGGGTCAGTGCCGTGGTGTCTAATGTCCCAGTTCCTCAAGCGCCTCTTCACTCCCTTACTGTTCCAGTTCGGGTAATATTGGCCAAAATGTCCAAACTGACCCGGAGGAGGTGTTGTGGGATACCAGACACGAACGGCTGGAGGGTAAAGTGGCTCCGGGGGAGGGCGTCGGCCAGATGACCTAGCTCTGGTGGACCTGCTGTCTCCTCTTCCCCTCCTTGGGCTGGCTGAGGTCCTAGCCCGATCTCTCCTCCGGCTCCTCCTGTCTCTGCTCCGTCTACGCTCTCTTCCTCTACTCCTCTGATCTGATCTCCTCCCTTTCTCCTCGGGAGAGTACCTATCTTGTTCTGGACTTCTTTCTTCTTTGGCAACAGGAGAGAACGGCGATGGATGGGCACTTGCTTCGCCCTCTTGCTCTCTGATCTCTCCACTCCTTTTATCTATGTTCTCCTCAACTTCTAATCCAGATGTACTTTCTGCGGGAGGCTTTTCTCCCTCTTCTCTTGTTCTACTAGGCTCTCTGTCTCTTACCGGTGTTGCAGGAGGTGTGACTGTCTCCAGTGATTTCTCTTTGGCTTTTCTTCTCCTCTCCTTGTCTTTTTTCTTCTCACGCCGCTCTTTCTTTTTCTTTCGCTCCTCTTTTGACGATGCCTCACTCTTTCTCTTTTTCTCCTTTGTGGTGGCCTCCTTTGCCTTGAATTCCTCTACTGCTAGGTCTCCGGAGCAGTTGTTCCCAGGAGTAAGTGGGAGGCTAGGTTGCTCACTCCCCTCAACAGCCAAAGACGGGGCTGCCACCCCGTCTTTGGCCTCTTGTCCACTCCCCTCAGCAGGAGCTTGTCCAACCCCTTCCGCTAAGTCCTGAAGCTCCCCGTAGAAGTTCCGGACCCGGCGGAGCGCCTCCCACTTAAAGGTCTCCGGGAGGTGGGTCTCTCCCAGTAGCGCTTCTACACGGCCCCAGGCGGCACGAAGCTGGGGACCGACACCAGGAGGCGACGGTCCTCCACTCATACCACCCTTAAGCCGAAACTCCAGGGCAAAAGTATGTTAAAACTTCACTCATCTATTCAACCGAGGGCGTTAAATCATACATATAGCCAGTCTGGTGGAAGGTGCAATTGTCATGTGGATGTGACCACCCCCTGAAGACTTGGTTGTTTTAGTTAGCCACATTCAGCCACCAAAAGAATGTTATAATGGAAGCGTCCTCGAACAGTGTGGGCAGAAAACTCCGCATGAAAACAATGTTAAGTTTCATGGACCTCAAGTAAACTCTGATGAGTCACCAGCCTGAGACAAGGCCATTTGGGGATGATTCCCTTTGTCCATTATTCCGATGACTTGTGCTTACAAGGTGAGGCCCCATATACGATAAGTTAGTGCACATAAGTTGGTTAATTGTTGGGTTGACTAAGGGGCTAGAACTATAGTTCATGGGGGTTTAAAATCATCTATAACTATATAAGATAACTATATATAGCTAGTGGGGGTATAACTATAGTTGCTGGTGTTATATACGTATTTGTCATTCGTCTACTTATATTTATGTGGCCCCACTTGTAAAAGAATTTGGATATCGACCACCAGCAGCCTGAGAAGCACTGTCGAAGGCCGCTCCAGCAGCTGCTGCTGGAGCCCTCGAACCAATCCAAAGCGCTGGAGAGTTGTTGGGGCGTTGGGTACCTGTGTATCTACGTATTTGTAACAATAAAAACAACCTACAGTTCCTATATATATATATTTATATTTATCTCTCTCTCTCTCTCTCTCTTTCTCACCCTCTTGCAGTCTCCTTTCCATGCCCCAAAAAGATGCCAACTAAGATTGCAATTGAGGTCAATTGAGCAATGCCAAAAGCATGTGGGGTCGTGTATGCTGGTTAGGCAATGGCAACTCCCAGCTCACGGATTGTGATGCTGAGTTGTAGAATCCCTCAATAATCATCCACCAGCCATTGTTTGTCCACAACAATTGATTACATGTATCCCCATATTTTTGATGCCTCAAACACCTCTTTATACTCAAGATAAGTTGATCCCAACTACTGCAAGCACCGTTCAGCGCAGGTTTCTGGAATTGCTCAACTGGAAACTCTGTGCGATCGTCTCCCAGCTCTGCCTGTGGTGGCAACGGGCGCAAGGTCGAGAGCAACTCTGGATGAAAGGAGCCGCTCTGCGACCTGGCCATATGCACTCTGTCGAGGGGATGGGATCACATGTAGGCACATATTCAAATACAAATCAACGAGCATCCTCAAAAAAAACACCAAGAAATGCTCATTGGAGAAATTGATGGATTTTTGAACAGGTTTTTTCTCCAAATGGGCTGAATTGCACCACTCCTTGCATGTTTCCGATTTTTTACGCTTTGGCGCAAAGAAACTGAGTGCATATAAATGCACGAGAAAAAACGTAGATACCCTTCTGCCAGACCACAAATGTATGTTGTTTGGCTCAAGTGGACACAAAAATCAAATCAGCAAAAATGAAACCAACAAATGCTATGAGCAAAACACAATAATTTCAAGATCCTATATATGTATCTAAATATATAATATGTATTAAAACAATGAAAATCAACTCGTAAATATCTTAAATGCATACATAAAATATAGTTTATCAGGCATATATGTTTTAAAAAAAATCTGAAACATTCGTTTACCATGTACATTGTACTTCGAATGTGTGTAATTAAATGCCATGCCTTCATGTTTTGGCCACACATTCGATGATGGTTCAACAAAAAAAACAGGAGCTTTTGGTGGCTTCCCTGGTGGGAACATTTTTTTCAAAGGAGTACCCTCTGGTAATTTAACATAGCTATTGAAAATGGTCATTTTTAGTGGATTTTCCGATTGAGAATGGTGGATCTTTCCATAGTTTTTTGTATGTTTACCAGGCCGGGTATTAAAGAGATTTAAAACATCCAAGAACAGGGTGCATCTTCTTGCCCGTCAAACAGCTAACAGCTCCGCCTTGTAACTCCGACATGATCCTCACCACAAATCACGTGGCGACAGCACATGGTAGCGTTTTGGGTTCGACGGTTCGAGCCTGCCTTTTTCAATAGGTCTTTTAACGGACCCAACATGAACCCACAAGCGAACAAAAATGGCTCGCAATGCGGTGAGTCCCATGAGAAGCAACCTGTCTGGGGCACTCTTGTGCAGGAAGCGTTGATTCCAGGATGCATGGGGCAATGGTTTCTTTGTCAGGGCGGAAAAAATCTTGCGACAGGTGAGCTATGGATAGCTATGATACAATGTGATACATGGTGTAGAACCAAAAGCTGCCTTTGGCGGGTTTTGAACCTCCAAACTCAGCGAACATTGGTGTTGAATCATCAGGCAACCGTCATTCACAAGCAATAAGGATAGAACATCCATAGGGCAGTGGCTTTGGTTTCAGGCCATCCCACCCATAAATGGACCCATCAGGTCATGCCAGTGGTGAGGATGGAAGTCAAGCCTTGTCCAAAGAACCTCCAATTCAACTGGGACCTTTCTTGAACAAGCAACCGTTGATAGTAAATAGCAATGTGGATCGAAACCTTGGCTTTCTGGTTTTCACATCAAAATGAGTTGGTGTGCAACTCGGTTTCAGCAGCATTATGATTTTTCAGGTTTGGAGTGTGGCTCGCCTTGAAATCCATCTTTTCTTGCATTGTAACCACTGGAAATTGCATTGAACTGTTGGGTTGCAAGCAATCCCCCGGATCAGGCGCCTGCTTGGATGTAGCTGCGTATGACAGCAGGGTGCTTAACATAACATGGACGCCTTTAGTGCAAGCGTTGAGGACACACCCCTGAGGGGCAACACCATCTGCGGAATCTTGGCTTGTTTCGGATATGGTGTAAACTGTAAACAAATGAACACTCTGAAAACTTGTTGTATTTCACTGACACTTTAACATTCTACATCTTGAAGTTCTGCACCAGGATGTGATATTATTGTTAATTACTGTTGATACTTTTTCCTGGGCTTAGGGACGCAATGTCTGTAATGTCTCAGCTTCATGTGCTCTAAGTCACGGCCTCAGGCCCTTCCCCGTGCGAAATCACTTGTGCAGGAGTTACAACTAATGGGGGGAGCCAGTTTGTTTGCATTTAAACTGCATGACTTTGATTGGAGTCAAATGAAATCTAGCACACCACTGACCTAAAATGCCCATTGATCATGTGCATGCTCTTGCCGCCTTCATTCTTCCCTGGGCTTCAGCTGAACCAATGGCAGCAAAAAAATGTGGACCATCTTATCGTGGTGGGGGTGATTCGCACACCTGAAAGCATCAAAGCCCATCAGCCACAGAGAGGAATTCAACATGATTCAATAGCTACATAAAGCTACCAAGACATTAAATCCGGCAATCCCAAGCAACACTGCTGATTATGGATCATATCATATCCCAATATGCTGCTGAAACCACACTTGTTCCCAATATGTAGTCTAAATCATAAGGTCACAGAAGATGGAATGCAGAACGCCCAAGCCCAGAAACCGCCCAGAAATGGGCGGTTTCTATTCCCACCTCGTGGTGGAGGATCCCCGCATACTGGTGGCCAGAACCCAATGGAATTATTACTGTAATCGAAAGGCTTGCTTTGGTCCCGTTGCCAGCCTAAGTAAACAACAATATTTAATTATATATGTTTCCGAAACTGGAAAGGTTCACCATTTGGGGATGACCCTTTATATCAAGCATCATTTATGGCGTTTGGCTGAATGGTCACAAGGTTGCAAGACCTTGGCAACAAAATAAAAACGCATGTTTTAGACAAAAAAGTGATGATACCTCCTAGACATTGGAGGTACCCCATGTGCACATAATCTCAAGCGTTGACACATTTTGTATCTAGCCATCTCCATAACTTGGTACTGCTGCGCTGAACCATCTAGGGACCAAGCCCGACAATCACCCGCTGAATGATCAACCTGCATGCATGCATCAGCGGCATTTGCTAAAATGTGACGTGCAATTGCTCAAGAAAATCATGCCCACGGCTTTAGCAATGGGTATCTCAAAGTGCTTCCTGCAAATGGAGACTGTGATTCCTGCTGCAGAAATTTCGACTTGGGTGGCCCTAGCTTGAGCTTGGGTCAATCTTAAGAACCCAGAACGTGGGCAAAAGCAACGAAAGCAACGCAAAAGCAACGCAAGGCATGTTTTCTCACTCACTTCCGGCTGCACGGCCAACCAATTTTCGGGCCCCTAGGCAGAAGTCTGGCAAAGGTCTACCAAACCTCTGCCAAACCTCTACAAACCCAGCCCCGCTTTGCAGGCAACAATTTCGATGTGGCAGGCAAGCGGGGGCTGGAGCCGCCAAGTCCCAAGGGCTTGTGCCTCTGGGGTTGGAGGGGCCATGCCTCAGGCACTTCCCTTGTTTCATTTTTTTGGGGTAATAATCTGTTCATGAAATGCTGGCCTCCTTGCAGATGAATTTGAAGGATATCAAGGAATACCGTTATTCCCATTGTTGGTCATAAATTATCATTATCAGTTTTGGTGCCTTCAGAAGGCTCACATGGTCACTGATCAAAGTGCCTAACGCATGGCTACACTCCAAAGAAAATAATCAAAGGGGAGAACGCTCAATCAAGAGCGTGGTTGACGAAGAAAACGCTAATAAGTTGAGTTGAGGTTTGCGCGCAAGACTTGATGTCTGCCTCTTCGGACCAACAAGTCCAAAGTTTGGAACCACTTTCCCGACTGATTTTCAAGCCAACAAAGTTCACTTCCTTCATTTTTCGAGCTACAACTGCTAGTTTTGAAGCCATTGGGCATACCTCAGATCCTGGCCATCTGCCTATTGTACATCGCGCACACCCTCCTCAAAAACAGCTGGTGAAAACATGGGAACACTGCTGGCAACAATTTTTCCAACGATCCCAACAAACAAAAAAGACACAAAAATTACGATTGGATGTGAGGGTGAAGCATATCACGCGTTTTCTCAAAGGCTGCCTGACGGCAGAAGACGCCTTAGTGGGCCGAGGCAAAAATGACAACAGCTAGCAAACTTAGGGAAAACATGATCAATATTAATCAAACAACAACGGATTTTGGCGGATTAAGGGGCAACAACACATAGCAACACCACTCATCCACTAAATGTATCTAAATGTCAATATTTCTATGCCCGTTCCTTCAGGAATAGTCTTTGAAGCATGGGTCACTAGACAATACTAGACACGCGCAAGCTGTTCGAATGAGAACTTGGCCGTATCCCCAGCTTGATCAATCAAGCCAGAAAGCCCAGACTGCCGAATGAAGTCCATTGATGAAAGGTCATGAATTAGCAAATGAGGGCGCCCAAAGAGTACCCAAGTGAAGGCCAAGTGATGGGTTGTCTTGTCACAAGTCACAATCAATACTTTCTGCGGCGCGGTGGTGTGGGAAACGTGCTTCTGGTGAAACAAAAAGCAACTACTTGGCTGACAACTTTGGCCATGGCTACGAACCAAAGCAAGCCGTCCATTCTGGCACCTGAAACAAAAGTTGAATCTCCTATAACCTTCCCCCATGTTCCAACAGCACGGCCCACACCGCCGCTTAGCCAAGCAATGCCAAGCAACGGGGATGCATCTGACTTCCAGCACACTCCTGCAGCAGCAGCTCCGTCGATGTGGCTGTCAGCCACAAGCGCTTCACCCAGCGCCGCTGCCGCAGTTCACTGACTGCCTCCAAAACCCCACGGCCATGGATGGTACGCAGGTTGTCCAGCACCTGAAGCTCCGCCGCATAAAAAAAACAGCTCAAGTTGACAGTAATATAATCCAAAAAGTGCCAACATTTCCTCTCATTTCAATAACCATGCCCCTAGACAATTGCTCGGAGGGGAGAGTGAAACAACACTGATCCACCGCTTCTTAATGCCTTTTAGCAGTGCTCCTCTTCTGCAACCAACTTGTGGTTTGGCAGGATGGTTGGGGTGCCGCACCACATGACCCACATTTCTAAGGCGGGAGCAAGCACATCACCGGGTCCAATAGGCACAGAACCTGGCTCACGCTCACAGGAAGAACACTAAGAGCATCCTTCAGCCTTAAACGCCCTGTGGCTCACGGGACCCTAAAATGAAGAGATTCCCTATACATTAGGCTATGATTGCGCGAAGGGCATTTCATATCTTTCTGTATGAGATGAGATCACGAATTAGCCAATGGGTAAACACATGTGGATCAGTGGATCGGGCTGGTGGCTGGGGATTTTGGGCAGGCCCTATGAACATGCTTTTTGCAGTGGGGATCCGTGGGGTATATTACTATAGTCAGAGGTTAAATAGAATAGATGTATGCCGCCCAGCGGCTGGTCCTCTTGAGTAGGACGTCGTGGAGCTTGTCCCAGGCAGCTGCTGCTGGGCCATCCACCGGCTTGGTACTCTTCCTGGCCACGTGACGACTGAGAATTCCAACTACCCCATGGGTTACAAAGGGGTTATTTGTTACACATCTTATTTTTGTCAAAATAAGTTCCAAGTTGTTTGGTCTTCAAAAACCCAAAGGGATTTTCGATATCAAAGTCTCACTAATAGCCCGAAAGGATTGAAAACCATGACAAACCTGCATCACTCCGGTGTGGAAGCCTCGCAGAATCCCTAAACGTACATCAATGTTTCCGCAGCACCGCCCACAGAATCCAAAAAAAACTTACTAGGACGTAGGCAAACCACATGGTTTGGGGTAAATACTGTTGTATTGGTAAGAATCATGTCATTTAAATTGAGCTGATTGCCAACATAGTGGCAAAATCCATTCATATAGGCACCCCAGATTGATAAACCAAGACTTTCTCGATCCTTGGTTGACATTATTTCGAGAAGGTCTATAGGATAACAGTTCCACTAACTGACAAACGCAAACCTATTCAACCCTTGTCAGCCGCTTTGTAGCAAACTAGAACATATTTGCATGTATGTAAGAGCTCAAAGTTCAAATCCTCATTCAGCAGCTCTAATAAGGAAGTATTGACTCTATTGCCATCCGTACGCCATGTTTCATGGTTACAGTTACAACATTATGATTATACCGTTCTTTGGGACCAACTGCACACAAAGGTGTGCTATCCCGTTTTGATGTGGTAGACAAAGGAAACAACAAGCCCCAGTAGCTGGACCATTTGCTCAATGCCGCCATATGCCGCCCAAGGTCCTATCCGCTTGGATCATAGGAGCTTCGGGAGGGCCGAAAAGGATTGGCCTTCTTGGCACCCCTTTCGGGACCCACATCGATGAGCGTCTTCCTGGGGGCCCGGATGAGGCGGCAAGCGGGTGCATCAAACCGTTGCACGCATTCTAAACACGACACTGTATAAAAGACACTCATCTTTTGTGTAGAGAGATAATGTATAAGTTGATTTTACAAGTACCCAACTTTGAAACAAACATTAAACACATGTTTAAGGAGCCGGGATTGTCCGATTGCATGGACTCTTAAGAAAACCACCGGAGATAGAGCCACGAATTCCCTCAAGAGTTCAGTTTTCCTTTTCCCTACATCCAACCTCCATAATTTCAAGCTTCAGATTCCAGCCCGTAGCCCTCTCATTTCAATTCCTACCTTGAAGAAGGCATTTAGTACGCTGGGAAGATTCAGGTATGTACAGTTTCCGGTGGCCCCAACCCCGAGTCAGTTGCATCAGCTGAGTGTCGGCGGAAAATGCTGGTAGTTTGCACCGCGCAGAACATCCGTGTCAATGCCGGCCTTCTTCAATTCTGCATCTGGTGGGATTTGGGCATACGTGGTGTCAGTTTCCATGACCTGCCGGTGTCAGGTGGGCTGATCAAAGCACAGGAGTAGATGTCTGTGTCTTAGCGCGGACTCCAAAATATATTCCTTGCAAAAATCAAAGGCATATTAGGATCTTTCAGAAAGGACTGTGCTGAAAGTCTGGCTGTGCGGTGCCTCCATTCACGTTTGACACTGCAATGGTCATAACATTTCAATTATATAAGTTATATCGTTCTTTATACACGCAGCCACATGCTGGGATTACAACCATCTACGCTACGCCAGTTTAGCACTTATCTAATCTTTACCTGAAAGACTGCACCTTCACTAAACAGGGTCTGGGCAAACATCTGCATGTATATATGTATATGCCTACGGGTGGAAAACCGAACCAGCGTTTTGCATGTCTCTATGTCTTTCATGGGGTTAAGGGGGTGGGGTGGGGTGGGCTAATAACGTTCGTTTGCACTGCCTCACATACATGATGCTACGCTACTCCATGTCTTCTTGCACTTCCTCACATACATGATGCTACGCTACTTTACGTCTTCTTGCACTTCCTCACATACATGATGCTACGCTACTTTACGTCTTCTTGCACTTCCTCACATACATGATGCTACCCTACTGTACGTCTTCTTGCACTTCCGCACATACATGATGCTACGCCACTGTATGTCTTCTTGCCCTGCCTCACATACATGGTGCTACGCTACTGTACGTCTTCTTGCACTGCCTCACATACATGATGCTACGCTACTGTACGTCTTCTTGGCAGTGGAGATGGGAAAACAGTTCCCACAAAAACCTCTCCAAGCTGACTGCAGAGGTTGTGAAGAACACTTAGCGCAGAAAAAAAGAGAAGGCCGCTGAGGTTTTTGACCTGTCCAGTGAAAAGTACGCGCACGCTTTTTAAGGAAATTCAACTATGAGAGAGATGCAAAACCACTGTGATTTATGGAATGAAATGAATGATGAACACTGCTAACGTTGGAAACGCGGGTTCGATAAACCACCCGCCGGGATGTATATCAATGACATTTGAAAATTTGATGTGCAGATGTGAAACCCTAAAACCTAGATGCATCAAACAACTTTAGCATATAGATATATAGATTATATACATATATAAATATATGTCTGTGTGTGAGTGAGTGTGCGTGTGTGTGTGTAAAACCAATTATAATAATTATATATAATATATATATTTATAGTATATGTATATATATATATTTATAGTATATGTATACACATTTTCATTTACATCTAAAAACTCTTGCAATCCAAGGGACATTTCTGATGCCCCCAAAAGCTGAATTGGAGCCCTCAGGCAATGATCCGAATCGTCCACATGCATCCGCATTGCATCTTCACTCGCCTGCGAGAAGAAAGCTGGCGTTTGGCCACAGCTGGAGCGTGGCATTGTTTCCTTCGGTTTCAATTCGAACCATTGAAGTAATTGAAGTACTAGTAACATCATGAATGTAACATCTATAGTAACTACTTTTGACTTAACGGCCATGGACCATGGGGAGAAAAACGGTAATTTCCCGAGAAGGGGATGATTTCCAATCTGGGTTTTTTCTTTCATCCTGAGGATGCAAGCACGTAGGGACTAAAATGACATGTCCAACATTGTCCAACACTCAATGGTTCACCCATTCAATTGTTGGCAATGCTAGCGGATTTCCAATAGGTTTACCGTCTTGCTCTTATAGCACTTTACCAAACAACTCTTCCTGGCCTTCGTGTGGTCAATCTCCCGCACTCCTCCCGTGTACATTGTATGCTTGGCCTCTGGGAGGATGTCCTGGGACATTATTACCCCTCAGGCCCTCAGGTTTAGGGTAAACTTGGGCGTTTGTCCACAAATGATGGCTGACCAGTATACCCCAACTCATCCCAAATCCATCCAAATTCATTGGGTAATCATGCTTTCTGCCATCAACCTGCAATGATGGACTTTCAACCACGCGCATCTTAGAAAAAATGAAAGTTGGGTTGAAACCTCTAGATATGGAAACATGATGGAACATGGGAATGATTTTAGGCGGTTGGAATGTCTGCAGCAAGGTTGTTTGATGACCACCAGGCATTCTGGCACGATACTAGGCTGTTCCCCAATCAAGACAGCAAGCAAACGCTGTCCAATCAAGAACCACACTTTATATCACTTCAGCATTGAGAAAAGGCAATTAAAAAATCTAAAACATAAATCAACTGGGACAACAGAGCGCCCCATAAGAACATCATTGCTTCATCAAAAAGGATTGTCCACAAAGCATGCGCCCCCAAACCCATGATTTGCTTTGGTGATATGCAGGCCCTAGCAAAAAAAGCTAGGGGCACCCCCTGCTGAAGCAGGTCCAAGGTTCAGTCATCAAACGGCCTTCGTACAGCTCCTTGAAAGAATGGATCGCAGAGACTGCGTCGGGCTTCAGCAAGGTCAGTTGTCGCGCCACAGCCAGCAATAAGTAATCGGCCATGGTGTTGAGTACCCATGGTTCCACATGGCCGAGGTTTCTCTGCAGTGGAGTGACTGCCAAGGCCTCGTCCTCTTCGATCTTTGAAGCACCAAATTGCAGTAGCACTGCTCCGTGCGAGCGCATTTTTTCGAGGTCGGTTTCCGTCATGACCGGCTTCTCCTTCAGAAATTGTCCTGTCAACTCCCAAGCTTCTGGGAACTGGTCCCCATCTGCAAGGTTCAACTTCTTCGACCCCAAGAGATCGAGAAGTTGGTTCATGTGCTGCTTCACGCAAAGCACATCCATCGGGGAAGTGAGAGCAGCGAGTCTTGAGTCTTGATCCGAAAAATCTGGAAGCACCGGAACACCAAACACCAAAAGTGCAAGTGATTTGCTTGGGCGAGACCTTGCACTGTCCAGAAAAGGTTAAAAGAAAACACTATATATATATATAAAAAACAATGTAAAAGGAATTCTTGTGTAAAAACATGGGACACCGACACCGACCCAGCAGCTAGATCCAGATTTTCAACCTCAAGACCAGACAAGTAACAAGTCCTAAGTTGGTCAGCTGGAACTCCGTGACGGCACTCGTCACGGCCATCACTCAATCGTGTCTGGGTCCACGCCCCCCCAGGTGAGACGCGCGTTGGTGTGGCAAGCATCGATGGCTTGCATCTCCTGTTCACTGAGGGTGATGTTGAAAAGCTCTGCATTTTGTTTCATGCGCAGTGGCTGCGATGATTTGGGAATCACATGGCACCCTTTCTGTGTGGCCCAGCGCAGCAACACGGCTGCAGGCTGAGCCCCATGTGCCCGAGCAGCCAGCTGCACTGCGGGTAAGGCGAAAAAATCTCGAGCTCGACGTGAGTCACCAGAACCCAGGGAGGCAAAGGCCTGCACCGCAATGCCTTCGCCAACACAATAGTCCAGCAACTCACTTTGCACCAACAAAGGATGGAACTCCACCTGTAAGGGGCGCAAGATTAGTTAGGACATGTTAAATCGTTGCCTTCACAATTTAATTTTTGGGTTTGAACATGTTTGAAGTCACACCTGGTTGACCATGGGCTGAATCTCACAGCTCTTCAAGAGGTCCTTCAAGTGGCGAATTGAATGGTTGCAAACACCGATCGCTTTGACCTTTCCATCTCTAAGAAGTTTCTCCATGGCCCTCCATGTCTCCTGACGCGTCTGAGGGCTCCAGGCCTTCGAGTTGCTGGGTTGAGGCCCAGGCCAATGAACCAGGTACAAGTCAATGTAGTCCACCTCGAGGCGCTTCAAAGATTGCTGGCAAGCTTGTAAAGTCTTCTCAAATCCATGGCTCGACCTCCAAACCTTTGTGGAGATGAACACCGAGGATCGTGGTAAGCCCGAGTGACGCAGGGCCGCCCCCACTGCACTCTCGATCGATCCCTGATCGTACACCTGAGCCGTGTCAATCAAGCGATATCCCGCCTTCAATGCCTCGGCCACGATGCCTTGCGCTTGGCGGCCAAGGCGATAGGTGCCAAAGCCCAAGACTGGCAAAGCCACACCGTTCCTCAATGCCACGGCGCTTGAAGCATTTTGGGCCAAAGCTGTGGACTGCACTGTGGACTTCACAGTGGTCGACGACGACTCTGCAGCTTCGTCCTTGGGATCCGAGGGCTTGGAAGGCTGTGACGTTTTTGCCGAGGCCGCGAAGAAACCGCTGATCTTCGACTGCTTTGCGTCGCGAGCAGCGGCCTCCAGCGAGCGACGCTTCATGGGACGACTATAGGACGACTCGTCCTGAGCTGAGCCAAGAGAGCTATAGCCTATATACAACATCTGGACCCTGCAAAGTGCACAAAATTACTATGAAAATTGTAAAAAAATGGTAATACACCCATGATCTCAGGACTTTTGCCTACACTTAGCCATGAAAATGTGTCAAATTGTTCGGATTCCTAAGCAACGATGCTAAACATCAAGTGCTGAAAACCGGCATGTAGGCCAGGAACATCACACATCTTTACATCAGTTTTAGCACGTGTTGTGTTGATCAACATGCTGTCACATGCTCAGGCCTCAATTTTGAGTTTCAAATCTCAGGGGCTCAAGGTTAAAACAACAGGCAGTTGCCACCCATGTTTGGCGACTAATCCACACATCGTCAAAGACAGGGTTTTACTATTTCCTGGGCCATCCAGGAACGATTCGTAGACTGGAAAGGTTTGCCATTTTCGTCTCAATATGGGGGACACATAAAAAATACAGCTTACAAGGGTGAACTGACCAATATGGAACGGTACATAATACACAGCGATATGTTTTTGATGATTTATACCGTCCGTGTATGATAGTTATTGATGGTAAATCTGGTGATGCTTCACCATTGCTAAAACCTTACCAAAAACCCCATGTTCGAACCAGCCGTTGCATGGCGGAGGTTTTGACAGAGGTGCCCCCACTGAGTTGGCCGTTGATTTATGATGCCATAAATATATCTACCATGAACCCAATATATTGAAGTTATTCATCAACTTGGCTAACTATGGGGTACCAACTTGTATGTATTCCCTTGTGTTATGTACCTTGTTGGGACATTATATTGCATCAATGTATTTCTATATGTAACCTGTATGCTGTATGTGTTCTTATGGTCGCATAAACGAAATAGCAATAATTATGTATAACTACCAGTATATTATAATATGCATTAAAATGTGTAAACAAAATGCGCGTTTACCCGCAAGCGTGAAATCACAATGCCTCTCTCACCAACATTGCCATACTTATCATCTGACTGATTCCAGAGGCCCCCAAAAACCACTCCCCAAGGTCAGACTCGTCAAACCAAACCCTTTAGGTACACGTCCCTGATGGGAATACATCGTCCCTGCCAGTTGGGGTGGAAAAAGAACTGTCCCGAAGAATAAGAACCGATTCTCAGGTCCAAAGTTAATTGGGAAAATGTTAATCATTCTTCAAGTGGGATTGGAATGTACTATGCATTCAACATGTTTGAAACCAACATAACCAACCAATGATGCGTTGCGTAGCCGCTGTCTTTTAATCTCAATGCATTCCACATCCAAGTGGCGCAATGTCAGCCCTGGATTATGATACTCGACTTCATCAGCTGATAATTACCTCGACAAACAACACAGTGGTCATATAAGTCCTATCCCCCCCAAAGCAAAAAACTACTAAACATGATTAAAGTATATTCAAATGATCCCCTATAAACTTGACATCTTGATGCATTAGGGTGACATTGGCGCAGGCGATTTACACTTCCCTCTGGGATGTGCGAACGCCAACATCGAGAGCTAGATGTTGGTCCTGCAAAAAAATGGAGAGTACGTTGATCACCTGTCTCAAAAGAGATTCAGCATTGTATATATATATATATACTTATATACAGTACATTTATATATATATATACATATAATGTAGTATATATATAATATATAGATGGATGGAAGGATGGATGGACGGATGGATAGATATAATATAATCCCAACTTTTCACCCAACTTCCAGGAATATCAGGAGAATTTGGGGATTGTTGACCGTTCAAGGAGTCCTTCTTGGATCTGATTCTGATACTACCCCTTGACTTCCAGCTAGAGCCTTGACTTCCAAATACTAGAGGTTGAAAACACAACTTGATTTGTTTTTCTCCTTAGGCGGGAATGGCATATAGTCCTAATTTTCACTGTGTTGTCTATTCTTTTCTTTAAACATTCACTCCATCTTTCGCTAGGTGCGAAAAAATATCTCCTCTCGCAGTGGAACGCATCGGATTCTCCGAGAAGGTTCGAAAATGTTTGGGAGGATGGGATCACCATTGGCGAAACAAGGTGTGTTGCATGATCCAAAACCCCAAAATCCATGGTGCAAATAGCCAAAACATGCCAACTACCTTGGTTATGTTGGAGAGGTTTCCTCTGTTATAAAGCATCATGAGGGTCCAGCCAGCAATGTACCTACTGGACCCTGCATGGTAGAGACATCAGCCAAAAACACAGACCCGATTGGAAACTTGATCTCTTCGATGTGTCCAAAGAAGTCTGATGGGTGGTTTCAAGCTGAAAACATGAGCAATTAAGGATCATCATCCAAAATATGGTCGAACATCTGTGTTTTTTTGAAAAGCGACAAGTAGAAGTGTAAATCAATGGAAATCGTTTGGAAGCAAAAATCCCAACGCCCCTGACACAGAAGTAGCGCTTCGAGCGGGGGTGCTGGGGGCCAGGGCCTCTCCTATCGCCGCAAGTGGAACATTGCGGTGCCTTCAAAGTAGGAGTTTACATGCATTTACCACCAGTGTTTAAAGATTTGTTTATGAATTTAATGGGAGAAATTGTATGATATGATCAATGATATGCCATTGAGTTTATGGGAAACATCTTTTCAATAGCAGATCCAGAAAAGATAAGTCATGCATCGTTCAACCCGTTTTCATTCAACAATCATGTTCGGACTAGTAAAGGACAATATTTCCAAGACCCCAGCATGGCCATGTTCAATAGGGAAAATAGTCTTCCAAACCAAGCTCTGATCGTGTTTTTGGGAGGTCCGTGGGAGATTTAAAGCGAAATCAATGCTTCCCTTCAAACAGTGATAGCCCTGTTGGTATCCCCTGCCCATTAAAGCACATTATATCCGAATAGGCTATTGTACTCTTCCAAACTCGTTGCCTCCCAAAAAAGACTATATCAACTAAGTGGGTGATAACCTGTAAAACAGAGGGAAGCAACACTAGAAATTCGCAGAAATGCTGTTGTTTTTATCCACTGAAACGAATGGTGGCGCATGGTCCTAAAATGTCCTAAACCAACATTTACCTACAGCCCCTCCTAGGTACAGCTCATCAATCCTTGCAGCTGGCCCCAGCACTTCTACCACCCGGCGCGCTAACGCGGTCGTTGGCAGCTCGCCATGTCATCGAACTGGGTGTAGGGAGGGCACCTAAGACTAGGCGATAGGGGCAAGTGGACCCAGGAGCTACCATTGGATGTCGTAATGATGTCATTGCATGTGCCATGTTCACTGCTTATCAAAATCTTTGGCAACACGTGGAAGATTATCATAATCTGGTCAAATAAATGCTATCTTCTGAATCAAGTCGGTCGCTCTCTCTCTCTCTCTTTTTCTCTCTCTTATGTATATATGATATATATGTATATATATAAATATACACACAATACACATATTGATGCATGCACACATCTTTTTTGTCTCTCGCGCCCTCTCTCTCTCTCTCTCCCTCTCTCGCTACGCCGGATTCGCAATGGAAGTACTGCCGCATCTATCATCCATTTCCTAACGTTATAACCTATAGGACATAGCCCATCAGTGCTTATATTCCGAGCTTTAGCCCTTAATATCATTCTATTCATCTGGTAATTTAAATCACCGTTTGCTATGGACATGGCCCGTTTACTTCGATGATTTCTTGGCGACTTCAACCTCCCCTTTTTTGGTCCCAAAGTAGAATATCCGTCGAAAGAGGAACTCATGTTATTTCTGGAGGTTTCATGAGGTTTCCATACCCCAATGGTGGATCGTTTATAGTGGGAAATCAGGAAATCCATATTGCCATGTAGGCTGAATCCCCCCCGTTGTTCATTAGAGGCCAACAACATCTGATTCCAATATATGATTGATTACACGCCTATTCATGGTTGATGTTTACCGCTAAATAGATTGATCAAATTCAACGTCTTTGCTGCTTCAAGCCACCCCAAGAGGGGACTTACAACTTACAACCTTGCAATAAAATGCAACTATGTGCTTCAAACCTGCCACCTGTGTGCTCAATATCCTTCATCTTTATTGGTTATTCCTTTCACGGGTTCCATCACCTTTTCTTGGAGATTATGCATCTCCACAGTGGCTGGATGATGATCAACTAAGACATTTCACCACCAAGACCTCACATGTTCTGCTTTGGTTTTGTTCTCAAATTCCACCATTTTTGCTGAAACAAACATCTGCCAAGTTGTTTTTCGTTTATTTCTGCCCTCCCATGATGGCTGTTCCGACCGTCAAAATCGGGCCCACTTGAGGGTGGTCACTGGGCCGGCTCCACATTACTCTGCCATAGTCATGTAAAAAAATGGTCATCAACTACCTAAAACAAGATAAAATGTTAACATATGTCAACATTATAGACAAAATAACTTTAAGCAAAAACAATAAACACCCTGAAAGGGTTCGAATTTTGGGGATACTTGCCCCACATCCGAAAATCACATTCATGTCTCGTGATATTGGCCACTGACATGGTTATAATCTACCCAGATTATCATCCAATTTGTTGGTTGGATTTCCCACCAGTTTGATCGTAAAACCCCTGTGTTTGTTGGTAATGCCAACCACGGATTAAACAACCTTGTAAAGTCGCTTAAATACCACTTGCTTTTCGTGTTTGGTAAATCCCGACTTCTGATGGCAAAACCCATATTTATTCTTGGACGTCGCACCATTTTCACAATGTTTCCTGGCTGAATCCCTGTGTTTGATGGTGGTAGCCCAATTTTTTGTTGGTTAAATCACAATTCTTGTTGGTTAAGAGTTAAGAATCACAATGTGTTGTTGGTTAAGTCACTAGTTTTGATGGTTCAATCATCTTAAATCATCTTGAATCACCTTAAGTCATCTTAAATCATCTTAAATTATCTTAAATCATCCTAAGTCATCTTAAATTTAAATCAGCTTAAATCATCGAAATCCCTAGTGTTTGTTGGGAAATCCCCCAGTTTTTTTGCGCTACCTCCGCCTTGCGTCTAGGTCACTGCGGCCCCGGAGCCACGGCTCTTGCCATGGGCGGCAAGTTCGTGCGGGTGGTGGGCCGGTGTTTCCGCGGCGATGCGCTGGAGGCCTGGTGGGAACTTCACCAAACAACCTGGGATTTAGCAATCAAAACATGATGATAACATGCTGAATTCATCGAGATTGGGTGATTTCACAAGATTTATTCCTCGATGAAAGATGTGAATACATTATCGAACTCTATAGCTACGTCATTTTCGATAGATATTGACCCGCGCGGCAATGAGAACTTCTATATACATGGAAGCTTTCGTGGGGGAAAAAAAAAAAACTCTATTTTTAAATGGTGGAATTTCCATAAAACTATTTTCCCATTCGACTCCTCCATTTATAGATGATTTTCCCATTAAGCCTCCATTTATGGTTGGTTATCTATTGCCCTGCTTGGTCACCGGAGGCTGTTGCCTCAAAGCCGTTCCGCGCTTCGTAGTGTCCAGGGCCAGGTGATGGTCGGTCACCAAAGGGCCCCCTGCGGCGCCCCAAAACATTGGCTAAGTCGGGGCAAATAACTCCAATAACGCTTGGGTTTATGGTAGATAAAACTATTATCATAGGAATGCAATTGATTATCGTAGTTAGCTAAGTTGACGAACATAAATCCAATATATAACTCAGTTTATGTGGTAGATACCGGGTAGAGGGTTATATAGTTACTATGTGTTACTATATGTTACTATGGTTCTTAGGCCATGTTTTAACTGTGGTCACCACCTTGTGCAAGTCCAACATATCCCTATAATTACCAGTAGTGCATCACCAGTTAGTTGACTGAAACAAACAAGATACGAAAAAGTTTAGCGTTGCAGGGATTCTTGGTAATCACTTCTCGCTGATATTTACTGTACTCCCATTCGAAAGCCTGGTTTAGTATTTCATCTGTTCATGAGTTGGGGTCGTGCTTGTTTGGTTGCATATTTTATCATGTGATGATTGGCAATATTTTACACATAAACCAAAATCACAGAATGGGTAAACCATTTTAAGCCACAATTTTTGATGATTGACCCCTGTTTGGTTGTAACATTAGGGGAACTATACATGTTCACACCCATATTCCCATGATAATTCCCAATCAGTTTTCATGCTGAACAATCTCATGGTTTGTCAGCTCTTATTTCTTGAGGATCAATCTGATTTTTCTATGGTTTTTCTATGGTTTTTCTATGTTTTTTCTATTGTTTTTCTATGGTTTCTATGGTTAAAACCCAGCATTTTTTGATGGTCCCCACCTCCGCGGCGTGGACGTGGTCCGCGGCCGCGCCGGCACCGTGGGCGCCGTGAAGGGCACAGGGCCATAGCTGGCGGGGCCAGGTGTCACGACCACATCGTGACTACCTGGGAAAGGGAAATTCATTGGAATACATAGATAGAATATATCTATATCTATGAATAATATATCATACAATAAAAAATGCAATATAAATATATAAAATATATAATAATACATAATAAAATGTATACAATGATATATACAATAAGATATACACAAATATATACAATAAGATATAATATAATATATGTTTATCTATCTATCTATCTAATCTAATCTAATCTAATCTAATCTAATCTATCTATCTAATCTATCTATCTATCTATCTATCTACATATCTATCTACATATCTATCTATCTTTCTATCTACCTATCTATCTATCTTTCTATCTCTCTATCTATCTATCCATCTATCTATCTAATCTATCGATCTATCTATCTATCTATCTATCTAATCTAATCTAATCTAATCTAATCTAATCTAACCTATCTATCTATCTATCTATCTATCTATCTATCTATCTACGTGTGTGTGGATGTATTTTATGTATATTGTATATATGTATAAATGAATGTACATGTATTGCATATATATATTCACTGTGCCAGCAGGGAGGTATGCTAGTATCTGTATTTGTATGTTTGCATATATATATACGATATATGCATCTGTATTTGTATAATATATATACATACATACATACATACATACAGACAGACAGACATACATACATACACACACCTAGACCCTCCAAATAGCTGTAAAACATAGGTGAAAGTACTACTAAAATTATGGCAGATGATACCAATTTTTATGGGTACTTGGAGAATTTCCGTGTGTGTCTAATCTAAATCTTATATATACAAACATAACATACATACAATCACCAGTTTGCTGGGATTAACCAACGAACAGTATGTGCTTTTAATCATGGCAATAATGGCGATCAGCTATAAAAATTGGGCATGCCTAAACCTATGTTTCACCAATAGTACCTATGATCTGGGGATGCTTTGGAATGGGCGCGAAATTAAGGTTGCATTTTTTAATTGCCAAAAAAAATAGCCCTCCCTTTGGAATTTCACCAACAAACATGGAGCCAGAAAAATAACAACATAGGAGATTTCATGGGATGGGTCATCCATACCCAAATATGGAGCCTGCAACAATTTTCTTGCTGGGAAACACATTCACAAGCTTCCTCAAAGATCGAGGGATTGTTCCAAGCCTGCTTTCAATGAGCTAAACCTGTACCCAAGAAAAATTGCCACGAACATCCAAAAACATTGCAGTTCCAGAGAAACACCGTGGTCAACATACTGTTCGGATGTCATTGTTCGCAGTTTTCATGCTGTGTTTCAGCCTCAAAACAACAACGATTGAACCATGGCCAAATTTGTGACTCCTCCCACCCAAGCTGGACGAATCTCAGGTACTGGTGGCCATCCGACCACCAGAGGCTGGTGCAGCATATGTGGCCCAGAAAAACTCGTTCTTGGTGCCCAAGCTGTACCTTTGTATATGCAGGGACAAAGGTACAAACCTTGCACGAAATCGATGTACGGATAGCAAAGTTGTTGGCAATGATTAGTAACTAGTGACTGCTATCCGTACATTAACTACTATTAACAAGTGATATTAACTACAGTGATTAACTACAGTGACTAACTACTATTAACTACTAGTGACTGCTAGTAGTGACTCTATGACACTGGAAGTTTGGTAAAGGGCCACAAGTTTCTTGGCTTTAGATGACACAGTTCTGGTCATGGCAACCGGTCAAGGCCCAAAAGTCCAACGAAAAGCGCTCATGTGGAGATGAGAAACAAGTGGACTATGGGAGTATGCTGGGGCAATATATATGTATATATATGTAAATATGTATATGCATGTGAAAGTAAATCAATAAACAAATAAATGAATGAATAAATATAGATAAATCAAATAAAATGACTGCCCATCGAACAAGTCAACTCGATGGCATTCAACCTTCCTTGCTTCAGAGTTCTGCCACCAAGGCCCTCCAAGGCCCACCCCGCGCCGGGAACGTGCAGGGAAAGGTCGCTCGGACCGCCCTTTTTTCACATGAAATGCAGCAACTGCTGATGGATCTCCCGACTTGCTCCGCCATGGGTCAACATACCCCATGGGACCTTGGTCGGGGAAGAGAACGGCTGAAGTTCAAATAGTTGGTCGATAGGCTTCCGGCTGAAACATAGCAAGTGTCCATCGATGATTTTCCCAGTTACCTCCATTTCGCCTGGGATTTTCCAGCCACGTTTGATGACACCCGAGGATTTTTTTCATCTGGTAAGCAAACATGACAATTGGTAGCCAATCTTAGGGCTTTCGAAATCCTAAACATTTTATTAAATGGACGTCAACTGATGGTGTCCAATTTCCACCTTCTCGTGGCAAACACATTGGGATGTGGTCCACTCTGCCTAACCAAATACAGTACATATAAAACCATACAACGTATATTGCACTAAGCTAAATTAGATACAGTTCATTATGTGTTACCTTGTTGGCATTATTATATATGTTGCATGTGATTATGTTCTATGAAAATATGTAATGCCTTAGTCTGTTTTAGTAACACAATGCATGTTGTAATATAGGCTTCTATACTATACATGATATGTATGTATACGTTTTTGTATTTTCATTATATTAGATCAATATAAGACTATGCTTATTATATACACATGACTATTTTTTGTATGATATAATTTCAATTACATTACATTGTGTTATATTCTTTAATAAAGGTTTTGTCTGGTTTATATCGTATATGCATGTTCCATTTTACATATCATATGCCACGTGGCTTATCCCTTCTCCAGCCTGGAAGGGGGCCAATCCCACGGCCTTTCCCAACACCCCCTTGACGGCACAAACGCCCATCTTTTTGGGATTGTCTTAAACTTAGGGGCGGTGCCCCCCCACAGTTATAAGTTGGATTATAACATATACCCGACATTCTACCATAAACTACAAGCCCTAGTTGTTGGAGTTAAAAGCCAACTTAGCTAACTTTTGTGGGCATTTTTTTGACGTTCGTCACGATTTGGTTCGCCCGACAATTCTCCATTTCTCTCCAGCAAGCCATCTCCAGCAGCCCGCCAGGTAGCCACTGTGCCAGATGCCAGAACCGCAGCAAAGGCTCGCTCAGTCGACCTAGGAAAGAATCGTCCAGCGAAATTTGGTATACATGAACTTGCTCTCCGGTAATGAAATATGGCAATTGAAAATCCCCCATATATAATGGAGGTTTTAATGATGGAGGAAATCATCTATAAATAACTATACATGAGGAGGATATGTGATTCATGGTGAACCACTCTGACCACCCCAAAACAACACTCATTTAAAACAACTGTCGAACCGCCCAACTGTGGTTTTCGCAAAGCAACCTCTAAAGTCTGGTTGCTATGGTTGCTGATGGTTGCTGACCCTTACCTGCAATGGTTGAGATCACCACAACAAATAAGGACCAGTCAACACTAAACGCATCTAATCCCAAGAAACTACCAGTTCAGCAGTTCTTCTGCCGAACTTTGTGGGATCAAACACTTTCACTCATTTTGAAAGGATATCAAGCAAGATCTTCATCAAAATGGCAGCCAAATAACCCCTGGAAACCAACCAATGGACCATTCGCCCTGCAGATCCTCTGAGTTTCCACACTGGATATCTTGCACATCCCAGAGCTGCTCTTGAACTGTACCTGGGTCGGCGACTTGGTCGTCCAAGTGGTAGCTGCTTCCCCATGGTCACTAGCTTCAGGATGCTTCAGGTATAGATGGCCAGTTCAAAAACTGGTATGATCCAAACATATCCAAACAGCAAGAAAAAATGCAAACATGTTTCAAACCATTTGTTCACATATTTTCTCTCTTTGGTGCACTTTGATGCAACATTGCCCCATTGCTGGCGATCAGATATGGTACCTATTGCTGAAGAAATCTCCGTTTGCTTTGGACAACAAATCGCAACCAACGGTCATTTTCATCTCAGGTAAGCCCCCTCGTAATATATTTACTTTCCAGAAAATTAACATAGATCCGGAAAAACCACAGGGGAATCCTGGGAAAGTCATCTACAAATTGCAGGTTGTCCGTATCAATTTTCTGCAACGTAGTGCTTACAAATTACAATCAAAACCCCTGTAACATCTCATCAAATACAGTTTCAATCCAATGGTTATATAAACCATGTCATCCAATTATCCCATGAAAAGCAACCAAAAGCATGCAAACCCCCATATGAAACTCGAATTGCCAGTAAACACCCCAAAATCCTGAGATCATCTGGGATCAAAACAAACATTCCATTAAACGATGAACCTCTTATTACTCTTATTGAACCCCAGGTTTTCCCAGGGTTTCCCCCAAAAAAATCTGGTTTTCCGTCCCCAAACCCGACGTTCCTCGCCGGGCGGCTGCTGTCGCCGCCCTGGTTGGGGTCGCCCCACGTCACGACGCCGCCGTCGCCCAGCAAAGCAGCGAAGGCAGCGTCGGAGGCGGAGATCCTTGGGCTCTGATGGGACCTTCATGACTCTTTTTAATGCAGTTATGGCCCGAAATACTAGTTGTAAGTACTTATGTCTAACCCTATTTATAGATATTTATAGTATAATCCCATAGAAATAACAAGTTATAACTAATAAATGGCAATAACCCTGGGGCTTTAAGGAAAATGCAGGAAAACAACATGGTTTAAATATAAATATATATATATATATATGTGTGTGTTTTCAAGGTTTTTTGACATGTTTTAAATTTGCGGTTTTTATGGTACTTGAATGGGATTTTCAAAGGTTTTAATGGGATTTGAGTAGGATTAAACCATGAAAAAACCAATTCCGAGCAACCCAAAGATGGTTTTATCATCTAAAGAAATGCACAATTTAAGCGACACACGTTTTTCTTCTTTTACAATGTTTTGACCTACTTAAATTGTTGTTTGGACTTCCTGGTTTCACACAGTAAAATTGGGCGTTAACCAATGGTTAACCCTTTTGGTGAAACCATGGTTTTACCAAATATAGTAGTTTCAACCGTGTCTTATCCAATTATTGGGAATCTACGTGCTATTCAATTCAAGTTATGAAATATAATTATATAAGTAACAAGCCCTGTGAGGGGCAACATATCAAAGCGATGGAATTTCTTCGAACAGATGGGATCTGCAAGTCTCCTGCAGAAGCCAGGCGTGTGCAGTTTGTTGTGCGAAGGATGACTATAGTGAGCCATTGTCATGACCCACTGGTGGGCGGCTCTGACCCCAAAAAACGAGCAAGTGTTGGCTATTCTGTACAGGAATACATGAAGAACATCATGTTACAGGGAAGTAACTACAGCAACAAATAAATAAGTGAGCACAACATAAAAGCATTGAAATAGTACAATGGCTTACTTCCTGGTATGCGCTCCATATATCTCAATGTGTCTAGAGTCTAAGTACAGCGCAAGTCTTGTAGCGATACCGTGCTGAAATAACTTGCTACTAGTAGTACATATTTCCATTCCATCCATGGCCAAACACACATCCTACTCCCTGGGACTCAAACATGGCAATGGAAAAAAACAAAAAAACACATGTAACCTCAGGATTTTCCAGCCATGTTTGATTCGGGTCATCTCCACCTGATCTCAAATCTTCCCCGTGGTGCCCCGTGCCCATCAGATCTTTCCAGGATCAGTGCCAATCTTAGATACCCTGCCAAAAAAAAAAAGAGCAAAATCTTAGTCTTAGCTAGTGAACGTAGATAATCCCATTGATACCAAAAGACTAAAGGATTAAAGTACCAAGGGTCTTTAAAGTATCTAAGATTGATTTTCCAAGGATCTTCTTCACATCTACAAAGAGATCATCAAAGATTCGGCTGTCACCGCCGGAATTGGGATCACCTCAGGGAACGAACCAAAACAATGCTGCCTGGAGGCTGCTGATATCATTGAAAAAGGTTGGAGTAGTAATAAAACCTACCAATCAAATAGAAAACCAAATTATCATGATATTTTTCTGCTGGATTTGATGGTTTCTATCTTTTTGGAATTTGCTATACACATGATACTGATATTAATAACTATATAGTGACGGACAATCACTTAGAACGTATTTTGGAAAAAAAAAATCTGAATATTACTGCTTTTTTTACGTTCTAAGCCTTGCACTTAGAACGTCGAAAACCATACACTTAGAACGTCCAAATATCAAGATTCATCACTTAGAACGTACCGGGGATTTAACACTTAGAACGTGTCTAGGTCACTGATGATAGTGGAAAGGCTTGTGAAATCATGTTGCCGCACTCAGCGAAGCCACTCAGGGACCAAATAGACATGTATTGGTGACGCACTTCAAGAAGCTATGTGTATATATATATACGTGTGCATACATATGCTGACAATTGTTTACAAGTGCATACATGCAGTACATATAGAGTTCCAAGGGCTTTGTCCAAACCACAACACTCCCCCTGCCGCATTGCCGGCCATTTTGACGTTCTAAGTGATGAATTTTCCCTACGTTCTAAGTGATGATTTTTTTACGTTCTAAGTGATGAATTTTCCCTACGTTCTAAGTGATGAAATTTTGCTACGTTCTAAGTACGAAAAAAAAAGGGAAAAAATTACGTTCTAAGTGATTGTCCGTCACTATATATTGAGACTTGTTGAACCCCAGGTGGATGCCCAAAATCCGGGTCTGTCTTAAGATGGGGAACATCATTTGCCCTTGGGTCATGAATCGGGGATTGTCCAGCAGGACACGTTTGAACCCTTGTGCCCAATCAACAGGGATCATAGTTTATTAAGTGTTAAAATAACCCCCAGCAACCACGTTTATACGGGCTTGTGCTAACCATCTCTTATTGGGGGTTGCCTGACTCGGGGGCATTGGTTGATTTCCCATGAGAGTGGGAGCAGAGTCAGCGAGCTAAGGGCCTGCAGAAAGAATTTCGACCACATCTGCTCCAGGAGAGTTCTACTTTGTTATATATTTGTGTTCAACATGGACCAGGTCCATAGCATAAATTGTTGATAGATAATAGATGTTGATAGTTGATAGCTTCGACTTGGGATTTCAAAGGGTTTCAAGAACAGGCTGACATGCAGCTTTGCTGAATGACCCTCCGCACCCACTAAATTCCAATCTAGTTGGCAGTGATGATTCTGGGCAAACTACACTAAGTTGTCCAAACTGCAAAGGCTCAGCAGCCCAAAACCTTGATGATTTATCAGCCTCTTTCTGAGTAAATGGCAAGTTTACGGGCATCCGCATGCTCAAACAAAGCCACACCAGTGAAACATGATTAACGCGCCATCTTAAGAATGACCCCTCATTATTTTAGGAAATGGCGTCTTTGTTGGTTAAATCAGGTTAAATCACTGTTTTGATTGGTCAAATCCCAATATAAAATAATACATATGTATATATATATATGTAAAATATATCTAGTATATAAAATATAACATGGAATATATATATATATATATAAATAAATTACATAATATAACCCATCATCCCTGGCGATCTCTTCGCCGGAATCCAAGGGACCCAAGGACACCACCGATCCATCACCGGTAATGGCGGCAAAGGCACCTTCGGGCAACAACTTGGAGAACTGGGACTACCCCTGGTCAACATACAAAAAACTATAGAAAACCACCATTTTTCATGGGTAAATCCACTATTTCTATGGCCATTTTCAATAGCAAACTGTAAACGTTTACCAGAGAAAACAGCGAACATACAGCCAACATAGGTAAGCCCTGGAAATGAAGAAAATGTGGACTTAGGATCACCAGGGTTCTTAAGTACAGTAATCAGTTCCAGGGATGATCCCGCAGGTGCTACCTGGTGGCTTCGAGCTACATCGAAAATTCTATGAGTTCTTTGGGGCCAAAAAGCAGCCACTGAACTGAACAGAGATGAAGAATGGCAATCAATTCTGGGACTTGGCCAATATCCCGGTATCCCAAAAGGTTTTGGTTTCTGATCTGTTGTTGTCCCTGAATTCATCGTCTGCAGGTTGTCAAAAAGCGCATGTTTTTTTGGGTGAATACACACATCCACAAGTGACTTGCTTGAAAAAAAACTACAAGCTGCCATTGACTTCTTGGAACATCATTTCTTCTGATACTAAATGCTCACCTATCAAAATTTCTCGTTAGGTATTGGATCACTGTATTTTGGGGTCCCTTCATGTTTCGTATCCGCTGCACCTTCCGTTGCCTGGATGTGGGTCACATTCTTCAAGCGATCCGCCTCAGCCCCAAGACTTTCTTCTCAGCGACGTGGTTGATCCCCAGTTAGGGCCATCTAAAACATGACATAATGATGCTACAATGTTGGTAAAACAATGTCATAAACCATCCCCAATTTCACCGTAAATAGGTGGTATAAACATGTATAAACCATTCCCAGTCATGGGTGGTTTATTATTGCCTTCCCCCCATTAATGCTGATTAAACCAAAAAAATAGATGCAAATATTCAAACAGACCTTTATGGCTCAGCCATACGGAGATACAATTTCCCATGTACTAATCAGCTGCCCGTGCCGGTAATTTAACATAGTTAAGGAAGCAATTGCCATTGCCCATGAAGATAGATATTATATATTATTATTGACAAACAACAGTAACATCTCCAACCAGTAACTGCTATTTTCAAGATAGGTTGTTGTTAGAATCTGTCAGAATCTCCATAGAAAACAGCAAACCTACCTCAACCAATTATCTATATAATTCCATGGCCCGGCCCATGATGGCCCTTGAAAGTTCTCCTCCCAGTCATCAGCGAAGGGACCACCTTTTGTTGGTCGCCGCCATATTGCGGACGCCCCCAAGAAACGACACTCCCATCCTGCGGTGATGGAAATGATGGAAATGATCTCCCTTATTTGGAGGCCTGTCCGACAAAACATCAACACATCAAGATATCCATAGAGGTAGAAAACCAATGATTTCCCTAGAAGCATGATTTACAAACGGTGAATTTTCATGGTTTTTCCGCATCTATTTGAGTTTACAGGAGAGTATTCACATTCAGCAGGACTACGTGGTGGTGCAGGTTGCAGGTTGGGTTAGTTTCAACATCGTTTGGTTGGTCCAAAAAGAAAAAACACATAAAATCATTTCATTTTGTTCACGGGAAAACACAGAAATACAAATGAATAAACATAACCACAAATATATATATATATATATGTGTGTGTTTTAAAAAATAAATAGTACTCAAATGATTTTACTTCACTTTATTTTATCTGTTCAGGCTGTGGCCTATCAAAACTGACTTTGTTTTGACAACGCTGGCCACGCGCAAACAACCTCGGATTTTTCCACAGCGCTTTGCACCAGAAACAATAATTTTCTCATGTTTAAAAAACATTGTTTGTCAAAAAACAAAGAAAGACTATGATCTCAAGAACCGTTTTGTCAATTAAAAACCGAATGCAGGTTATCCCACTGTCGCGAAACCCAAGAGATACTGTAAAAAAACAAAATTCATTTTGTTCATTTTCATTGATGTTCATTGTTTTGTTCATATGTTTCATTTATGTTCATGTTTTGTTCCTTTTGTAATGTATGTTCATTTCTGTTCATTTCCTGCATTTTTTGTCATTGAAAAACATTGCCAATCCATACCACTGGCATGTTGACCCACTACTTAGTTTTGCTGAAACATCAGTTTTGCAAGTCTTTACTAGGCTGGTCTTGCATGGCATTGACCTTTGACTCACACCATGGGCTGCGCAGCGAAAGATAATACGGTTGTACAATGATACATGTAGGTAGCTTCTGTATGTGACAGAATGCAATATCACAAAGGCAACAGAAACATAACACGTCACTAAATAACATATCGTATCAAACATTGTATATGGTTTATTATTGGTGACCATCCCAAATTGGTGCCTCCATAATGGGTATATTGATCCTTGCTGATGGATTGATGACCATCCCCCGATGTGGGCAGACAATATTATACAATCCAAGTTGGCACATGTAATTTCGTGTCATAACATAATTTACTAACATCCTAGACCCTCCAAGTACTTTTAAAAAATCAATCAAAATAGGTAAAACATACTGAACCTTATGGGGTAAAACGTCCATATAGGTTTTAAAAAAATGCGAGTTTGATACACGGAGAGCCTCCAAGGTGAAAAAGGGAAAAAAAAACTATGAAGCCTGGGACAATTAAAGCAATTCACTAACATGAAATAGGGCCATTTTGGGATGATTCCCCTTATTAACCATGACTCCAGTGAGGTCGCAGTGAGGTCGTTATAATTTGCACAGATAACATGGGTCAAAAAATCAATTCGTATGGGCACTTGGAGAGTCTAGGATTGACAACGACGCAGCTGTCCTCCAAGATGGCAGCAAAGGCATAGTTTGCAGCCTGAATAGCCTCCCAGCAGTCTGGCACCACCAAGAAATCCCGTAGGGAATTCGCTTAAGCTGTCACAAGTGTTTGGTTATTTTTTCATCATTTGATTGGACAAACCTGTTACAAATCAGTTATATACCATTTGGTCCTTTCACAGTAACCAAACCACCCTTCATACATGCCTGCAGCCACTAGCATCACACAGGCAAGCATACTTTTTTCTCCAATGATCTGTAACACATAGCTACCCAGCTGGCAACTGGATCTGGCCAAACAGTTACCAACTGGGCAGCACCACGGCCCCACAGGCTGGAAATAGGCACTTGGGCCAGGAAGGGGTCAGGGGGGGGTGGGTGCAACAATCAAGCCCTTTCCAAACAATGCTCACCACTGGCTACAGCTTGCTGTAGGCACTGCACAAGCCACATGATTCATTTGTGTGCTGCACTAACACATGGGCTGCATCACTCTTCAGGGTTTGATGCTTGCAAATATTATAAGCTATACACTCTTGCTGTGCTATAAATGGCCCTTTTGTAAAGTATGATTACTTAGCTATTCGCCATGCAAGGTAAACCACATCTTATCACAGTTGTTTCATGTTATTTCACTCATTTGCCTTTTTCCAATGAATCCCAGGTGTCTCCACTTTTGCAAGTGAACCCCATTTTTGCGGCACGGCTTCACCCCTGGCCTTCACATTCTTCAGCTTGTCTTGGACAGAGCTGCTATCACCACCAGCTTCAGGGTCCCCCCATGTGACCACCTAGCTGAGGCATACGATCACTGGTTTTGGCATCGTTGGAGACAACTTGTATACATGTAGATACATTCATATATACAATAAATAAATGAATGAAAGGATATAAACATCTAATATATATAGTTCTGGAAAAAAATGGTTATGAGTAACGAAATTTTGAATTATATAATATACATTGGTATATTTAATTATTTCTTTTTTGATAGAAACAATCTATATATTTATATCATGTAAAAATATGTTTACATAATATATGTAATGTAAACATATATCATAAATATATATATACAATAAAACCAATGAAATAAACATTTAATATAGTATGATAAAATATTATTTCGAAAAATAATAGACTTAAACAATTTAGCAAAATAAAACATCAAATCAAACAAAATGATAGAATAACGTATATTAAAACAAACTATGGTATGATATGAAATAATATAATGCAATATAATATACTGAAACAAACATATGATACAATATAATATATTTTACATAAATTTTTTTAAAAAAAACATATATTCAATGTAAAATACATTATATTTAAAAAAGAAAAACACATATATAGTAGGCTATTTTAAGTCAAATGTACGTGTATATATATATACATATCCAAGATTCAAAACTAATATGTTTTGTAAAGTAACATAGTGCAACAATGCATTTTAATAAATGCATACACATATATATATACATATATAGTAAAAATAAACAAACTTATTAAATAACAGCAAAGTAATACACTAAAACATATTAAAACTTCAAAAACCTAGTAATACAAAAACTTAAAATATATGTATATACCATAAATCATCATCACATGTAAAATAATCCATATATATATATTTAAAAAAAAACGTGTCCAAATGGCATAGCCAAGGGTACAATGGCATACCACAGGACGATCTTCGGTGATCCCGGGGGCTTTGAGGTGACTGACTCACCGCTTACAAGCCATCCAAGGGTTATGCGGGAATGTGAATGATTCACATGGCCTTAACCTCGAGTCTTACACCCATCAAAGGAACTACGGATGGCAACAACCATCAATTATGCAAGTCTTCGCTGAGTTGACATACACTGGATGGCCCCCAAAATTGGCACATACGTTCCTCATCAGCAACTGCGATTTGTGGAATTTCTGAATTTATGGTGGATGTTATCTACGCCAATCTACGGCTACACCAAAATAACCGGATGAATATCATACTAGTTCACCAACCTGAAGCAAGGGTCATTTGGTGCTGATTTGGACCCCCGAATCTCTGATGTTTTGGTCATACGTACACCCCCGGTGCAGGGCACCGTCCCATCGGCGCGCAAGGCTGCGAAGGACTCGTCATTCCCCTGGCGGATCAAGGGGAAATCTCCAGGATGTTCTTCGGATTGTTCATCCTAAATCTGCATGAACATGGGCTTTTTAGTCCCAAACATGAGGTTGTCCACCGTTCCCGGCAAGTGCCAAGTGCCAAGCAACCAATTCATGTAGGGTTGCTGAAAGAGATACGGTAGCTTCGGAGCGGAAGCTAAATCAATATCATGCATGGGTGCCATAAGTCGAAGTTAAACCCATCAGATTATGATGTGCCTATCATGATATAATAAGGAACAGAAGGTCGTTGAACACCACATATCACATGTACCACCAATCGTCAATCAATCGTTAAACCTACTGCCCCGGTGTGGAGACTGCCACGGTAGTGGGACCCACATGGAGGTCCGAGGGACTGGTGCATCAAGATATCCAGGATGCACTATTCACCACGTTTTTTTGTTGATACAACATTGGGAAATGTTTGGTTTCTAAAACCCATGCCAAAATGCAACCACTTGGCCACTTGGCTGTTGGTTTCTGGTTCTGTCCTTCGAACATTACTGCACACCAACATCCCAAGTAATTAGCCTGTAATTATGTTCGTCTGAATTTTTTGGGGACACCCCATTCCTGGTCAATGATCACCATTGAAATGACAATATGTGTGTACCCAATCGTCAGCGACACCCACTTGCAAGAAATGGCGGTGTTTTATCCCTATAAAAGTGGTGCCCCCCTTATAAGTTGGTCTATGCCCTTCATTCAGTGTAGACATACCAGGGATGTTCACCAACTTAGCATTCGCGACCCCAAACACCACATTAGATGAGTGTCCCATACATGTTTCTTGAACATATTACACAGATTTGCACCACAATACCCCCAGAGTCCCCATTGCTGATGACTTCCCGCGTGTATCTATCTGGTGAACCCTGTGGACCCGGTCTTACAACCTGGATGGCCACGATGTTTGTGAGTTGATCTTTCCTCAGATCATACCAGGTCAGGATGGTCCCAGAAAATGATTTGGTGCTTCAGTTCAGTTAGTAAATGGGTCGGTTATAGCCCCAATTTTGCCAACGTTGCCAGTAAGGTTAGTACATTTCAGAGCTTGCATTGCAACCCACTCAGAACCTGGGGTGCACCACCCAGTAAGCCAAATTGGAAGGGGATTAGGAGGACAGTTGGGATCATCATTTCCGGCATGGACAAACAACAACGAACATGTCAAACCATGCCAACGTGAAAAAAGGAATATAATCTAAAACATGCAACCGCAACTGTCTTTTGTTTAGTGGCACAGCCAATGCCTCTTTCAATACTTTGGGAAGCACACGGGTAATGTGAATCACCAGTATCAACTTAGAATGATTCATCGTATTCGTTTCAGGTTGCTTACCCAAATGGTAATGCATAGCCTTTTTCGTTAAAAGATGCATCTGGATGCCTTGGGCATGATTTGCCCAAGGCAATATTTACCTGCATTCAATGCGCAAAATCGTTGGATTGTGCAGGTGAGCATACCGCAATTGCAATTACATTGGTAAATTATATCGCTGATTTCCACCCATCTTGTAAATCCATGCGCAGTCTTACATAGATATGCGGTGGAGGTCGTTAACTGGATAGCAAGTGGGCGACGACCAAAGTTGAAAAAGGATTACTGACTAGTGACTAGTTGACTATTTGACTAGCTCCATGGTCCATCTAACCAGTGAATTAGTTAATCCCCATTGTTGATGGTTATCTCAAAGATGCTCATCAATAACTTGCCAAGTGTTCATGGGTACATAAATCCAATAGCCTACATATGTGTAGAGTCAAAACATTGTTTTTCCATCCTCAAGATTTCGACTATTTAAACAACTTCAAGATATTTCATATTGAAACTTCCATGAAACTCATAAACCAGCATATTTTCGGCCTATACCCACCCCCCAGCCCCCCCAACCCCATCCGTCCCCGGTCCCGTCGCGTCCCCAGCGGCACCGCCGTGCAATCGCCGCCCTTCTCGGGGTCGCCCCAGGCCACGGCGCTGCCGGAGACGTCGATCCCTGCGAAGGCGCCGGCGGAAGACTGCACCTTGTCGATGTTGGTGATGTCCAGCCCTGGCGAAAACGGGACATTAATGGATGTTAATGGATATATTAATGGATATTAATGGTGAAAAAAATGTCAGGTGATGTTGACATTAATATGGGTATGTTCATGAATATGGTCATTAATGGATTATTGGGACATAATATGTTAACATTAATGGATGTTGAAATGTTACACAATGCTAATCATGTTAAGGATCAACAATAGGAAAGGAATGAACAATAGGATAAGCTCTCTATAATATGTTTGATATCCATATATGTTATGTAATATTATCCCAGTTATGTTATATAATCATTAATCATACTGAAATAATGTAGGTAAAACAATGCCATAAACTACCCATGACTGGGCCATTTGGGAATGGTAAAGGTACCATCTATAAAAATGGTGATGGCTGTGGGATGGTTTACGGCATTGTTTTACCCACATTACGGTTAATCATGTCAAGGATCAACAGTAGGTTTTTGATGAACAATAAACTATCCGGCCCTGCTGTTACAAGGGATCAACAATAGGACAATGGTTAACACGTGCGAAGCAATTTATATATCTTCCATGGGCTATGAACAAGATTAGAATAAACAAACATAATGAACAAGGATCATGATCATTTTGACTTATGGTGACTTATACGTATACTGTCAATGTCATTTGTGAATTTACTGTCTATCGAGGAAGAACAATAGGATCATGATCAACAATCCGGAGCAAAAAAAAAACACATAATTATTTGATGGGGATCTGTAATTATTTTTGGGGATCACTGGAATATTGTTGTGGAACAATGCACAATCATTGAGAATAGATTATATTTAATTTGGGTATGGTATGGGAATATATAGGCTTCTTCGATGTTATTCCCATGATATGTTGTATTTTGCGAACAGGCGGCCAACCATACAAGGTTTGTCATGGTTTGAACATCGCAGCCCCGGGGTTAACAACTAAAATATAGGTGGATTGTTTACATGTAACGTGGCAAATTTGTGGATTGCGTGACCAATATCAACCCTGCCCTTAGCCTTGCCCTGTTGATGGCAATACTTGATGACCTTGTTCTCTTCCCAATGACCTATCACAGGAACTCATAGCCTCAAAGGCAACATGGTTAGGTTCATATAGCTGTTGGTAGCGTAGCTTAATCCATCATCACAATCCCCAATTAACAACCGGATATATATATATAAATATAAATATATATATATTCTCTTCCCCATGAATTCTAGCCAAGCCATTCATCAGCCAATTCACCCAAATTCCCCTGCGGTGATCAAAACGTTGCAATTGGACATCCCCAAATTTTCTTTCAGCTCTTGAAAATCCATTGTCACCAGGCCTGATCATCTATCCTTCGATATGGACACGTCATGAATTTTCCCAGCTCCCCATCTTGGGTTCTCCAGCAAACATACCCATGGACAATGACAAGTCTAAGGTGATTTGCCTGTTCAAAATACATCAATATACTGGTTTTCCATGATTTTCCCACAAAATCAGCCCATTTCGTTCGATTCTTTTCCCAGCAAGAAACATCAAATTATACTATTTATAGTGGATTTGCCTACATATTTCCCATGATTTTCCTGTGATTTCCTCCAGCTTTGGTGCCAAACATCTCGGCATCGCACCTGCGATCCGTTCATTGAAGTACCGGTCGCCCCAAGACACCACGCGACCATCCTCCAGCAGGGCGGCAAAGGCGTCGTCGGAGGACTGGATCTGTTTCCTCAGCACATCTGCGGAAAAACCATGGCAAAAACCATGATAATCGCATGGGGGTATAGCAGGAAAATCTAGGGAACAAAAAGGATAAGGTTGGAAATATGGGATGCTATTTTCTTGAACAAATAAGCTTCGGTGATATCCCCAACAGCCGCAACTTTTTATTTTTACAAATCTTTCCGCAGCGTGCTGTCAAGCCAAGCGCTGGAAATACTTCAGCTGGGTCTGCACCAAGACCTTCTCCGGAACCTGACCTCTCTGCACCAAAGCCTCCCTTCTCCGGAACCTTCTCCGGAACCAACTTGACCTGGCTCTGCACCAGAGCCTCCCAGACCTTCTCCGGAACCTTCTCCGGGGCCCTGTTGTTTGAACCTGACCTGGCTCTACACCAAAGCCTCCCAGACCTTCACCTTCTCCGGAACCTTGTAGAACCTTGCACCAAGGCTTCCTGGAACTTTTGCGGAACCTTCTGCGGAACCCTGTTGAACTTGACCCGGCTCTGCACCGAAGCTGACCTGGCTCTGCACCAAAGCCTCCCAAATCTTCACCGCAAGCTTCTCCGGAACGCTGCTGAACCTGACCTGGCTTTACACCAAAGCCTCCCAGGCCTTCTCCGGAACCTTCTCCGGAACATGACCTGGCTCTGCACCAAAGCCTCCCAGACCTTCACCGCTATATTTTCTCCGGAACCTTATCCGGAACCCTATTGAACTTGACCTGGCTCTGCACCAAAGCCTCCCAGACCTTCACCTTCTCCGGAAACCTGTTGAACCTGACCTGGCTTTGCACCACAGCCTGAACCTGACCTGGCAAGCTTTTTCCAGAACCTTCTCCGGAACCCTGTCTGCACCGAAGCCTCCCAGACTTTCACCGGAACCTTCGCCGGAACTTGGCCTGTCTCTGCACCACGGCCTCCCAGACCTTCTCCGGAACATTCTTCGGAACCTCGTTGCACACCAGAGCTATTCTGGGCTGAAGACCCCACTAGCTTACACTGTTGGGGAAAAATGGGGAAATCATTGGGATAAGCGGAAAATTATGGGGACACAATCGGAAAATCATGGCAACGTGATGGGGATATAATGGACATACCATGTGGAAAATAAGAGGAGCATTATTGGAACATGATGGGAGCATGATAAGACAATCATGAGGATACGATGGGAATACGCTGAGATTAAAGAAGAGAATCAGGCGATATAGTGGGAAAATTGTGGTATATACTGGGAATAGATAAAACAAGCAATAAGCCACCAAACAGCAATCGTCACGCACGTCTAAATCGATCTTGCGGCCTTACTGTTGGGCAATTTCATCGTCAAAACATAGTTCTATAGTATATCACAAGCCTAACGGTTTATTATCGATTTCCTCCTCATTGTCCGAGCCAAGTGAGCCATGAAACATACTATTTTTTCATCCCATGGTAAAGTGGTACCCCGCTATGTAATTCTGGAAAATCATTTGTTATAGCCCATTTCTAGATGATTTACCATGATTGTTCGAAAACATGTGCCTATCCGGTTTTCCATAAGTTGTCCATAACTATGAAACAAATTACCAGAAGGTATCCCAGTCATGTGGTTTGGACATAATCTGGCAGGTTAAAAGGGACCAAAATTCCGAAAGTTTATTGGCTGATGGTGTATGACCAATTGCAGCAAAAAGGATCCTAGCATCCTAGATTCCATCAAATCAACTTAATTTTGTGTATACTAAATCCCCATTGGAGGTTCCCACTAAATAACATACATGATATTATTGAATTCCATTGATGATTTTGTTGTTGTTGATGTATTTCATCCGACACCTAACCACTCCGTAGGCAGCAGAAATCCCAGCATCACATGCTGCAACTGCTCTTTCACTGCCCGGCTGTCCCCGCCAAAGTCCGGCGCACCCCAAGTCTCCACCTGATAAAATAACCAGAAAACAACCAAACATTGGAGGTTCAAGGGAACTTCCAGACGGGGCTTCAAGGGGACCTTAAGGGGTGGCTCAAGGATGGGCACACCTTTCCACTTTTACCTGAAAACATAAGAGAATTCACGACCTTTAGCAGCAAACCAGTTGATTTGACCAGCAACAAATGTGGATGTGACCAATGCACACGAGAATGTGCCGGCGAAAAGCGTCGATTGTACTAGCAAAAATCTATTTTTAACTAGTCCATGTAAACATATATTGTAAACTACTATAGGGGTTCTTTTGGGAGAAGCTCATAGGAAGGGGGGCTGTCATCATTGAAGATCACTAAAGACGCCGCAAGGACCAATCTGAACGCCTATAGCCGTTGCCCGTCATTCCTCCCAGTGTTTGACCACAAATATTTGCGAGGTACCCGGCCATTGGCCAGGATCGCTGCAAAAGCATTCTGCGACGCTTGCACACAAAGTACGTCCTGGCCCCACAGCTGGGTTCCAAGGTTACAGGTAGGCAAAAGGACTGCTGCGAGGGAAAAATCTACCGTTGACACCCGTTGTTTCTACTCCCAAATAGAGGGATTTTCAAGTAGATGCTCCCTTCATCCAATTCTTGGAGCACGCTGAATACATAGCCTGAAGTCTCCCCTTTCAACGACATTTTCACACGACATTTTCACACCGGGGACGGTCTAACTTCCAGTTTGGGTATTGTCGGCTCCTTGTGTCAATCATCCAACTTTCACGGAAGCAGAATCCTGTAAATAGAATTCAGCAACGAACAAAAACACATCTACAATATGAAAATAAGCTATTATGAATAAAAATACATCAACGTCATAGTCTATAATAGTACGTAAAGTGCTTTGGGACATATGGAGCCGCTGACCGGACCAGCTATGGGTTCAATCTATCTACACCATGTCTGACACTGTCGCGTGGACGCAGTTGTTGGCTATTTAGTCGGGTCACTGGGACTGCGGCATCCCAGTGAGCAAACTGTTGCTGTGAAAACGTTGCATTTTGCGGCCAAAAACGCAAGATAATCCTGGCCCAAACAAAGAAACTGCAGAAACCAAATCATGCTATAAAAAATCATTGGATATCAAAAAAAAGGACCCAAAAAAACCTCGTAAGAAGTTATCGAAGTTATAACTTAAGTTATAAATCGTAAAACATAAGCTAACATAACTTCAACTTAACTTCCGTAACCCAAGTTATAAGTAACATAACTTCATGTTAACTGGGGGCATCACAATGTGAGGATTTTTGATCACCTGCGCAGTACAACATTGATATTCTTGGCATGTCTTGGGGGGCCCGTATCCGGCGTTAGTGGTGAGTGAATTTGCATGAACCCATGAAATTCGAGGATCCATACAATATATCATATCTGGCTGAAACAAACAAAATTTAATCAAATAAGGTGACGCTGGATTGGTTCCCACTAATTAGTGACCATCATGTATGGTGCCGTTTTACTGGGGTTGTTAAAAAAACACCTGGATATTGGACCTACGCCTGATATCTCTCCATTCGCCGTCTCCAAGAGTCATATCAGTGCCAAATCTACAGTGCAATAAAAATGGATTTGGAGCTGCTTAAAGTCTATCTCCCCATTTACGACACCAAAACATAGGAAACCTAAACCTATATATATATATATAACTAATTCCCAGACAAAGCCTGGCCTTTGAGTCTAATTACAATATATATATATATATATGTATTATGTGTGTGTGATTGTGTGTGTATGCATACATGTTTCCATTTCTGACCAAAAGCAAAAGAACGGTCGACACATGTGCTTTGCAAGCAACGCACATGCTTACTTGCGGCCCAGCTGCTTTCAGCATTGGCTGCACTTTGCTGGAATCACCGCCACCTCCAGTGCATGTGATGGTGCAGCCACCATGAGCCCAACAAAAGTTCAATATGGTGCACAAGATAGTGGACAATAAAAAAACAACAAATCATCAAGAACCAGCACACATTTGCCAATAACCAGTAGAGAGAAAGGATGCAAAAAAATGAACAACCTCGAGAACCAGAGCATGATCTGAGCAACATTGCTTAAGGTGCCCAAGTCATCGATCTTTTCTTTGGAGGTTTGAACTCTTTCCACTCACTGGCTTTCTTCCCCAGGCACCCCTAAATTCAAGTGTCTATCAAAATTTCAACACAAAATAACAATGTTGTGCATCTTCATGTTGTGTGCCCCATCATCCATTCTATATTTCCCCATGATATCCCATATCACGTCACACTTTTTGACTTTGTTGTTGGTGAAATGTCAGTGTTTTCATCATTTCACCAGCATCTTCCGCAAAATTCACAATATTTCCACAATTTCCCCATGTTTTCCGGCCATAGCCATGCAACTGGTTGATTCACCCCATGCCATGGCTGTGCCATCCTCGAAGACAGCGCCTAATAGCGACCAGCTCCCCCCCGGAGCGCGGAGCCCCTTCTTGGCGAAGACTCCCATCACAATGTGAAGTCCATAAGACAGCTATTCTTCGGTGAGGTAGTTGAAAATCCTATACAAATGGAGGTCTTAATGGGAAATCACCTATAAATGAACATCTTTCAGCTAGGTTTGAGTACCAGAGAGGGATCCAAAGGGTATACAAGTTGGCAACCCCAATTGCCAGGATTGATGGTGGGTACCAACTCTGACAAAGGCTGCCACATTGCTGGGACTAACCATCAACAATGGAGACTGAGCATCTCTATCCGCACTAATCCCATGTACATATCGCGTCATATATTCCCATATGAAGACCATTATGATTACCACCTGCCTGAGCTGCAACAATTCAACATCCAGAATATATGTGGCACCATCAGTTCCAATGATTCCATGGTGACGTCTGTCTGATCGACCCAGGTCCAGTCGGTGAAATCTTCTTTTTTGACAGTAGGGCCGTGTTGTTTTTCCGCACCATGATGTCATTAGAGATGATGATGCAAAATAATTACTTGCTGCTGCATTATTACAATTCAGCCAGGTGGTAAGGATATGTAATGGTAATGCTGTTCGTATTGGACTATATAGATCCGGGTAAATTATAACATTTCACTACCCTGAAATAAGGCCATATTGGGATATTCCCCCCTTACTACCCTGAAATAAGGCCATATTGGGATATTCCCCCTGACTAACCACAATTCCAGTGAGAGAGAATAGTGCGGTCGGTATAATTTACATTACTTTACCCAAGTTACAGAGATAACCAAACATAATCCCATGATTAGTTGGTTATGGATGATAATAATGGTTGAATATGGATTTATCATGTTCAACTTTCCATGAATAGACAATCAATATGAATCACCAATAGTCATCATCATCATCCATTACTATCCATTACTATCCATGGTTCATCCATGACCCGTTGGGAGTTTCCCAGTTTCAACTCTCCATGGACAGGCCGCAAAAGGCCCGCTGACTATTCTGGAGCTGCTGCAGCCGCACTTCGCCCGAGCGGAGTCGGTCTTGGACTTCGCTGGAAAGGCCTCGTCCGATTGGGGCTGTGGGACATGCCGACAGGAACGGACACCAAAAAAACACGTAGGCATGCAATGCACATTGAATCGATTAGGATATATATATATATATATATTATATATATTATATATATATATATATTTATTTATTTATCAAAGCAAGTTGGGAAGCAATCTTCCAAGTTGCGGATGACTTTTATTCAAGTGACTTTATATCAGTAAATAACAATATAACATAATATAACATGAAAGTACGAAGGGTGGTGACGGAGGGTAGTGATCACGAAGGGTGATGACGTGACGGAGGGGAGTGTTGACGAAGGGTGATGACGAAGGGTGGTGACGAAGGATGGTGACTGAGGGAAGTGGTGCATGGTGACACGTGCTGGTGCAAAACGCATTCATTGTATACAAAGGCTGCATGAATCGCATTGTAATGGCTGCATGAATGTCGCGTGGGACTTGTGTCGGAGTACGAAACCTTGTGCTTTTCTGTGTAAAGTGGCTGCAGCTGGCAATGAAAGGTACCTCGTGTGTGCGGCGGGTGCGGCGACACTCGTTCTGACGTTTTCTTTTGCCGCGCTGTAACAGTGGCTTCCATGCAGCTGCTTTGGATGCGTTTGCGTGTGTGCGCCGTTCCTATGTGTTTTGGCATCTGTGGTTGCAGATCGCAGTGGCGTGGCCGCATGATTGATGTAATATTTTGTTGCCATATGCGTAGATACACTCGGGTTTGCCACGTGATGCTGCAAAACGCATTGTAGTGGCCACATGAATGTTGCATGGGGCTTGTGCTGTTGGGGAGGATGCCGGAGCATGAAACGTTGTCTTTTTCTGTGTAAAGTGGCTGCAGCCGGCGATGAAAGGTAGCCGAGGGTCGTGAATCGCATTGGAGTGACTGCATCAAGGTTGCGATATAGTGACTTGTCAATAGATTTTCTCAATTTTAGCGCTGGTGATTTTCCTTTTAAATCTTCTGTCAAAAAGTGCTTGAAAATCGTCCTTTTGTCGCTTTGGCGCTGAGATCCGGCTTTGGAGCTGCAATTTCTGCTGCAATTATGTACAAGAAAGCTTATCTGTGTAAAAACTTCTTTCTCTAAAAGCTTGCTGTGTGTAAAAGCCTTCTGTGTGTAAAAACTTGCTGCGTGTAAAGGCTTTCTTTGTGTCAAAGCCTCTCTGCGTAAAAGCTGGCTGTGTGCGACTTTGTGGAAAAGTTTGCTAAGTGTAATTGATGTCTATTGGGAAATACTTTGTGCAAGCTTTGTATTACAATGTAATACTGGGAAGTGCTTTGTGCAAGCTTTGTAGTACAAAGTAGTACTGGGAACTGCTTTGTGCAAGCTTTGTGGTGCAAAGTAGTACTGGGAAGTGCTTTGTGCAAGCTTTGTAGTACAAAGTAGTACTGGGAACGACTTTCTGCAAACTTTGTAGTGCAAAGTAGTACTGGGAAGTGCTCTGTGCAAGCTTTGTAGTACAAAGTAGTGCTGGGAAGTGCTTTGTGCAAGATTTGTAGTACAAAGTAGTACTGGGAAGTGCTTTCTGCAAGCTTTGTAGTACAAAGTAGTACTGGGAAGTGCTTTGTGCAAGCTTTGTAGTACAAAGTAGTACTGGAAAGTGCTTTGTGCAAGCTTTGTAGTACAAAGTAGTACTGGGAAGTGCTTTGTGCAAGCTTTGTAGTACAAATAAGTACTGGGTAGTGCTTTGTGCAAGCTTTGTAGTACAAAGTAGTACTGGGAAGTGCTTTGTGCAAGCTTTGTAGTACAAAGTAGTACTGGGAACGACTTTCTGCAAGCTTTGTGGTGCAAAGAGAACTGAGAAGTGCTTTGTGCAAGCTTTGTAGTACAAAGTAGTACTGGGAACGACTTTCTGCAAGCTTTGTAGTACAAAGTAGTACTGGGACCTGCTTTCTGCAAGCTTTGTAGTTCAAACTAGTACTGGAAAGTGCTTTTTGCAAGCTTTGTAGTACAAAGTAGTACTGGGAAGTGCTTTGTGCAAGCTATTGTAGTACAAAGTAATACTGGGAAGTGCTTTGTGCAAGCTTTGTAGTACAAAGTAATACTGGGAAGTGCTTTGTGCAAGCTATTGTAGTACAAAGTAGTACTGGGAAGTGCTTTGTGCAAGCTTTGTGGTGCAAAGAGAACTGAGAAGTGCTTTGTGCAAGCTTTGTAGTACAAAGTAGTACTGGGAACGACTTTCTGCAAGCTTTGTAGTACAAAGTAGTACTGGGACCTGCTTTCTGCAAGCTTTGTAGTTCAAACTAGTACTGGGAAGTGCTCTGTGCAAGCTTTGTAGTACAAAGTAGTGCTGGGAAGTGCTTTGTGCAAGATTTGTAGTACAAAGTAGTACTGGAAAGTGCTCTGTGCAAGCTTTGTAGTACAAAGTAGTGCTGGGAAGTGCTTTGTGCAAGATTTGTAGTACAAAGTAGTACTGGGAAGTGCTTTCTGCAAGCTTTGTAGTACAAAGTAGTACTGGGAAGTGCTTTGTGCAAGCTTTGTAGTACAAAGTAGTACTGGAAAGTGCTTTGTGCAAGCTTTGTAGTACAAAGTAGTACTGGGAAGTGCTTTGTGCAAGCTTTGTAGTACAAATAAATTAGTACTGGGAAGTGCTCTGTGCAAGCTTTGTAGTACAAAGTAGTACTGGGAAGTGCTTTGTGCAAGCTTTGTAGTACAAAGTAGTACTGGGAACGACTTTCTGCAAGCTTTGTAGTACAAAGTAGTACTGGGACCTGCTTTCTGCAAGCTTTGCAGTACAAAGAAGTCCTGGGAACGGCTTTCTGCAAGCTTTGTAGTACAAAGTAATACTGGGAAGTGCTTTCTGCAAGCTATTGTAGTACAAAGTAGTACTGGGAAGTGCTTTGTGCAAGCTTTGTGGTGCAAAGAGAACTGAGAAGTGCTTTGTGCAAGCTTTGTAGTACAAAGTAATACTGGGAAGTGCTTTGTGCAAGCTTTGTAGTACAAAGTAGTACTGGGAAGTGGTTTGTGCAAGCTTTGTAGTTCAAACTAGTACTGGGAAATGCGTTGTGCAAGCTTTGTAGTACAAAGTAGTACTGGGAAGTGCTTTCTGCAAGCTTTGTAGTACAAAGTAGTGCTGGGAAGTGCTTTGTGCAAGCTTTGTAGTACAAAGTAGTACTGGGAACGACTTTCTGCAAGCTTGGTAATACAAAGTAGTACTGGGAAGTGCTTTCTGCAAGCTTTGTAGTACAAAGTAGTACTGGGAAGTGCTTTGTGCAAGCTTTGTAGTACAAAGTAGTACTGGGAAGTGCTTTGTGCAAGCTATTGTAGTACAAAGTAGTACTGGAAAGTGCTTTGTGCAAGCTTTGTGGTGCAAAGTGGAACTGAGAAGTGCTTTGTGCAAGCTTTGTAGTACAAAGTAGTACTGGGAAGTGCCTTGTGCAAGCTTTGTAGTGCAAACTAGTACTGGGACGTGCTTTGTGCAAGCTTTGTAGTACAAAGTAGTACTGGGAAGTGCTTTCTGCAAGCTTTGTAGTACAAATAAATACTGGGAAGTGCTTTGTGCAAGCTTTGTAGTACAAAGTAGTACTGGAAAGTGCTTTTTGCAAGCTATTGTAGTACAAAGTAGTACTGGGAAGTGCTTTGTGCAAGCTATTGTAGTACAAAGTAATACTGGGAAGTGCTTTGTGCAAGCTTTGTAGTACAAAGTAATACTGGGAAGTGCTTTGTGCAAGCTATTGTAGTACAAAGTAGTACTGGGAAGTGCTTTGTGCAAGCTTTGTGGTGCAAAGAGAACTGAGAAGTGCTTTGTGCAAGCTTTGTAGTTAGTACAAAGTAATACTGGGAAGTGCTTTGTGCAAGCTTTGTAGTACAAAGTAGTACTGGGGAGTGCTTTGCGCAAACTAGTACGTAAAAGGTTCTGTGTGTAAGAGGGTCTGTGTGTGAAAGCTTCTCTGTGTGAAACCTTCAGTGTTTAAACGCACCTGTCTCTAAAGGCTTCTCTGTGTAAAAACTTCACTACGTAAAGCAGCTTTCTCTGTGTAAAAGCGTTTCTGTGCAAAAGCTTGCTGTGTGTAAAAGCTTCTCCGTGTAAAAGCGTGCTATGTGCAAAAGCTTCTGTGTGTAAAAGCATGCTGTGTGAGAAAGGTTCTCAGTGTAAGAGATTGCTGCGTGTAAACGCTTGCCATGTGTAAAAGCACTCCGTGTAAAAGCTTTCTGTGTGTAAACGTTTGCTGTGTGTAAAAGCTTCGCCTTGTAAAAGCTTGCTTTGTGTAAGAGCTTCTATGTGTACAAGCTTCTCTGTGTGTAAACGCTTCTCTGTGTGTAAAAGCTTGCTGTATGTAAAAGCTTCTGTGTGTGTAAAAGCTTGCTGTGTGTAAAAGCTTCTCTGTGTGTAAAAGCTTGTCGGTGTAAATGCAAAGCTTCTGTGTGCAAAAGCTTTCTGCGCGCAACGACTTTTGTGTGCAAGAGACTTCTCTCTGACAGTAAAAGCTTGCTGACGCGCACAAGAGCTGAGATGAGTTATGAAGAGCTTCGACAAGATGAGAAAGGTTGAGCAGTGCTCAGATGAAATGAACATAGTTGAGAAGAACTTAGATGACATATGGGAAGAGATAAGATGAGATGAGGTGAGAAGAGCTCAGATGAGATAAGATGAAATGAAGTGTGGAGTGAGAAGTGTGAAGTGTGAAGAGTGTAGTGTGAAGTGTGGAGTTTTAAGCGCGACCTTTGGAGCACGCACGCACGGGCCTGGCTGGCGCAAGGCGCATGCAAGTTCTATAGATGAAAAAGGTCTTATAGTATAATCCTAAGGCAACTTCCGCCCCGCCTCGTGCGGGTACTACTGGTATATATATATTGTAAATATATCAATATATATCAAGCATATCGGTATATCTCTTTCAGCACATGTGCAAATCCTTCAGCACAGAGAATTGCTAGTGGTGCATGTACAAAAATCAACTCATCGTAGGAATTTTCAACAAAACCTTAATGATTCCCTATGGATGTAGGTGCATTTTGTTGCAGTATCAGCATGATGACAATGACATCCACGTAGTTACTTGGTGTACCTTCATTAGTGGCAACATGTGATTGTCTTGTTTGTTTCTGTTGATGTAACTTAAATATTGCACTGAAAAGACCAAAAGCAACCCGATGACACTCCACTCTACCTATTAAATCCTATTAATCTATGAATCTATCTGCACACATAAATATGGCACGTATCAACATACACTGTATAAACAAAACAATAACCAGTATAAGGAAGCCACCTATTGACACAAATGCTATGCAATTTGGCAATATTGGGGCCCGATTGTGTTACAGATGCATGTTCCGCATGAACATAGAAAACAACATGGACACAACATAGATTGTGAATAACATTCACGGCCAACCTTAGATACCGTGCATTGTAGACATTCCAATTTGCACATGTATATGCACACATATATCAATATATATATATATATACAGTATATATATATGTTATACATAAATAAGATTAAATCTCTACATTCATCATGGTATTCCAACACATCGCCAACTCACCAGTCCAACACATCTCTCTCCATCACCGAGTCACCGCCAAAATATGGGATGCCCCAGGTCACCAAGCCGCAGTTGCTCCACAAAGCCTCCAGGGCCCATCGATAGCCCATACTTGACCCACACGCATGTGTTTCCTTGGAAAGAAATCATTTTTTCTCCAATCAAAAATGGCTGACTGAAAAATCACCTATTCAGTTCAAAGATTTTTTCCATTGAATCTTCCATTTATAATGGATATCCCTTCATGTTCCTATGCTTCTTCCTATGATGTTCCCATTAAAGCCTCCATTTGTAATGTGTTTTCCTACATTTGAGTATGCTTTACCATGCTTTACCTATGATTTTCCCATTAGAGCTTCCATTTATAATGGATATTCCTATATTTTTTCCCATGCGTTTCCTATGATTGTCCTAGTGAAGCCTCCATTTGAAGTAATTTCCCAGCATCTTTGATAACCGAAGAGTACGCAACACCAAGGCTCGAAAACGGACCCGTTGGAAGACAATTGCACAGGTTGAACTATGGCATTCAGCGTATCTCCATCTCGCAGTCCAGCATCCTTGGCTGCATCTTCTGCATAAATGCGTGCACTCACGTATTCGTGTGTAAATGCACACGTACACATATATACTATTTATATGCAATTTATACACACATACCTGATTATGCATATTATTTAATATATATATATATATACTTGTATGTATATATACATGTATGTGCATCTGTAAATATATATATATATATACATACATATACATATACATAATATTATAACCAAAGCGGTTAAGCACACATAGCATATTTCTGACTAGTTGCGCTTGAAACAAAATAAAACCATTTTTCTGAGTTTGCTTTGAGGGCCTTGGTCTTTCGATTCAAGAGTTTGTATAGGTGCCTGTATAGGTGCCCGTCAAGCCCTCAATATCCTTCGATCCCATCCGTGAACGCCCTGGCAGCCACTTTTTTTTTTCACAACTGGGCCACGCACATCAGTTTGCGATACCTTTCCAAATGAAAACCATCTGCTACGTCTTAAAACATGGATTTGGTTGGGGCCTGCAGTTGACTTTCAATGAATCCTCTTAAGGCCGTCAGGATACAGCACCCCTGAACTTCAGGAAAGAAATGAGCTTTCTGTCATACTTCATACTTTGTTCTTCAGTGGCCAATGAGCAGAACAGCCAACGAATATAGCCAGCATTTCCAGCTTCTTCGTAGCTCAATCAATCCATAATATTATCATACCTATAAATATATATATATATATACATATATATATACAGATATATATATATATAGAATTACATATATATATGTACATTTGTTGGTTACTGAATTTGCTGCCAAAAGAGTGAAAAATCGGCTTCCAAGCTCCCAGCTCCCAGCACCCGCGCTTGTTTGGCCAAAGGTCTTCAATAGTCAAGTGACTTCCTGACAACGCAGTTACCCACAAGATCCTGGACACCAACAGCATCCAACAGCTACGCTACCGCTACGAGACTATGTCTTCAAATCCTGGGGCTGCCTGGGGATGAAGTGACACGAAGTGACAATGGCTTGGAGGATATCCGGATATAATTACTTGTATAACTTGTATACCCTCCGGTAAACTAACATAGCTATGGAAAATCACTTTATTTAATGGGTAAATCCACTATTTCTATGGCAATTTTCAATAGCCATGTTAGTCAGTACCTGATAGTGATTACAGGCACCATGACTGTTCTTTTTTCTCGGCCAGGTCATTCAACCCCCAGGTGGACCTCCAATAATGAAAGTCCTTAAACACAGTTTCAGTACCCAATCTCTGTGCTATCCTCCGGTAATCAAACATGGCTTGCTGGAAAATCCACCATTTATATAGTTCAATGAATTTCCCAAAATCTCCATAATCCATGATTATCCTATGATTAATTTCCTATATATGAAAATCACCATTTTGAGGGCCAGTACATATTCCCCATCCACTGTTTCCAGTGAAAGGCGATGCAGCCAAAGCCACGAATGAAGTGGCCGGCAGGGGTCACCAGTCGAATGAAACCTGGGATCGTGGGCAGCTAGCGGAATATGGGTATATAAAGTATATATATATACTGATATGTATAGTATATGTTATAGATATGATATGTTATCAATATTATATTTAATTATTGAATACATAAATATAAAATATAATTCATTTCAATATTACATGTCCTCATTTTCAATGGTTTGGTGTTGGTATTTCCATGTTACATTGTAATCTTGTTGGTGCTTGCAAGCATCCATCCCAAAAACAAATTGAACAATTGGGATCACGGCTCAAGGGATGAACAAAATGTGAAACCACCAATCCTGCGGCTACCGGGCCGCAAACATCCAATGACTGCACCGGCCACTCATTGGAATCTTTAAGCGTTTATCTTTGCAGCTGCATTGGCTGCGGTGTCAAGGACAGGTTCAAATGGACGGTTGCCTTCTTAACTTGGGTGGCCATCCCACTTGCTGGGCCCTTGGTAGGCTTCATAACCATTGCGCTCGATTGCGATCCTTGGTCCTGTAGGTATCACTGGCTAGTGACCAAAGATACCAAACAATTTCAAAGTTAGACAAGTGGGATGTTCACCACAGCGGGGTCCCAAAAGCTGTTCTAAAATGATGCCATCTGGGAATCAAGCATGACAATGGAACATTATCATGTTTAATTCAAAACAACATACATCAAATTACGACATGGGAAATGTTCCATTGCCAGGCAAGAATTTGCCAGAGAGCTCCTACAAAGAAGCCCCCGCCCGGAGAGGTATAGGGTTCCGGCTCCGACACAGCAACATCGCCGCGGGGCTTTTCTGAGAAGAGGATAACCCAAAATGTGCTGTTGATCATCAATTTCTCACCGAATTTTATTGGTTCGATTCTATCCAATCCCATTATGTTCCCACCATATCCCCATATATTCCCATAAATGGTTTATACTCCACTATGACACCATGTTTGTTGGCTGAATCCCCATCTTTGCACCCAAAACATTGGACCAACCGCCAGCTTTTCTGCCACAAAGAAGTAGCCGACTTTGAAAGCTTCTTGCGCTGCATCTTTCACATCGATCATAAGGGTTCCTGGCAGCCACCCATCCGAAACACGTGCTCATCAAACGGCATGTTGATTATATAACCTTCGCTAACCAAAAATGGCAACGGGGTTTCCCTGATAGTTGAAGGTTTTAGTTGGACATCATCAATGAGGGACCCTCCATTGCCACATGACAGTACCGGAGGGTCAGAAGGATAGATAAACAACATCGCATCTGGGTGCAAAATGAGATGCAAAGTTGCAATGAGAACTTCATGACAACGTTTCATTTTTCAATTGATGCTGACATATCTGTCGTCTAGCCCCACTCTGACCCTCTGCCAGCGTCCAGACCTGTATGCTTGCTAATGCTTCAGTCCATAGGGGTGCCCAGTTTCAGGTCCCAACAGGCCTTGCACTTTGGTATCCCAATGCCAGATGCTTTGGTTCAGGAATCAGGACAAATCTAAATAGTAACCCGAAACAAGTTCGGCCATTTTGGGATACTGCCCTTACTAAGCATCATTCCAGTGATGTCGCAGTGAGGGGGTTACAATTTACCGACCCAGTAATCAAACATGCTCCATTTATAATACTGGATGTTGAATTGCCATGTTTGAGTACCAAAGGGTATCCAGAAGAATGACAAAAATTGGGTGGAATGGCGCAAACCTTTGCTGCCCAAGAGTCCTGTGGTAAATGACAACTTCACCTGCGTCGAAATTGGAGTCATCCGTGATGACAAGAGCGGGGTAATGAAATCATTCCCTTGGATGAACCAAACAACAAACTGGAACAGTGTGGGTTTGACTTGTGTTGCACAAGGCAACCAAAATTTTCAAGCTAAGAAAGAAGTCCTTGATTACCATACAATAAACAAACGTGGCGACTGAAAAACCCCATCTGCAAATCCTTGCATACATGCCGTTCCCAGAAAAAAAAAAACAGCCAGCCACGTTTGGTTTCCCACAAGTAAAATCACTGTTCATCCATCTTAATTACCCTTTCTTGGCCGAGTTTGGGAGGTTTTATTTCCACATTATAGGCTCTAAACTATGGATTACGCTGCTGCTGCTGCTGCTGCTGCTGCTGCTGCTGCTATTGCTTCATATTTCAAAAATGAACCAACGTGACATCCCGTCATTGGGTGGTACTTCTCTAATGAAATCTTCGTGTGTTGACATTTCACCAGTCCCCACGTCAAACAATCGGTGTTTTGTTTGAGCCGCGGTGCATTTGAGCCACTCGGAAGGCAAATCTGCAGATTCACCGGCGGCTCATCTTCCCCTCGCCCAAACATCCGCGCGCGACGCAGATACCGAGGAAGTCCCATGAGAGACGGAACGGGGTTCCAAACAGCCTTGCACTTCGAAGACGGCAGGATGTTGCTACTTGGGGTTGGAGTCGGGATGATTACAGTAGTAGGAATAACCACAGGATTTGAACCCGGGATACAACCCCCCTGTAGCTATAAAGGTATCTACTTTGAACTGTGTTTTCTCCCCACCAATGTCCTGGTTCGTCTACCAAGCCACTCCTAACAATTTGGTTTTGGAAAGCAATGGTTTGGCAATATCCCCCCTGGGTTGGCCGTTGTGTGTTCAGCTATAATCAATCACTACAAGAGGCGTGGCACATGTGGCACCAAAACTCTGACCCAAACAAAGTTCTCTCCGCCATCTGTAAAATTCTGTTTATATGATATATATATATATAAATATAAATAAATAAATGTATACATATATACTGTAATTGTATATATATATAAATAATAATAACACATACTAAAAATAGTAACAAGAATCATAGCGATAATAATGATAATAATAAAAACAAATAATAGCAATTATTATATATATATATATACATATATATACTGTATATTTTGTGTGCGCGCACATAGTTGCACATATGCATGTCCACTTGTCACACCCCTCGTGGTTTGTTTTAAAAGTAAGGAACCCACCAAGAAAAAAACATTGTTTACTGTTCCCCTTTGACTTCAACATGTGGATGGTGGAGAATGGTGGAACTGTATACACCCATTGATTTCTGGACCAAGCCAGAAAATCGCTGTCTGTGATAGATATTGAAAATTATTATGCTCATGTATACATTAATATATACATATACAATCATATACATCCTCATTCTATCTGCAAGCAGCTTTTTCCTGTCAATTCAACAAATACCCCTCAAACAATCCTATTTTATGGGTTTCTTCAAATAGCAGTTTCCCATCAGAGGCCATTTTCGGAAAGTTTTGCTGAGGCACGTCCAAGGCCCGGGCCTGAAACCAAGGCTTCCAGGCTCCGACCAACATGAAATTGGAGAGTAGGATGACGTCTTTTGATGAACTTCCACTACACATGTAAGTTGTAAATGTGTAAGTATACATGTATATGTATAAATTTGTATATATATATATAAACATATGTATATGTATACAAAATGTGAATATTTATGTATATATAATGATCATATAATTGATATATGTACACTTAATATGTAAATACGAGGTGGTGCCCCCCTACTTTTGAGCTGGTTTCTAGATCAGTATAATGAGGTAGAAATATACTTACCATAAATTCTCACTTAACCTAGCTATAAACCAACTTAGCTAACTATGGGGCACCACATTCCCCTGATGACACGCAAATCGCATTTTTTTTTGCAACTTTGCATGTCGCGATTGGTGGCAAGCCTGGTTTCAACTCACCACCCAACGCCAACACAAAACATACAAGTATATATATGTGTGTGTGCATATATCTATATGCATACATTTATACCTGTCATGTTGGATAATCCTCTCAAGCTGGTGGCTGGATTCAACTACTTCAATTTCCAACCACATTTGGGATCACGATATCCCCTAGTGACTCATGTTTTTCCCCGGCAGGTGAGGGTCTCTAGATTGGGCAGCGCATATCGCAAGCTCCAGGCAGCTGGGCACTTCTGGACCTGAACACATTCCAATAGAATGCCAGAATTAATGCCAGATAGAACGCAAGAAAGAATGTCACCATATAAGCTAGAAAGTATGTCAGAATAATTATTGTCAGAATAGATGCCTGAAAAAATGCCTAATAGAATGCCGGAAAAGATGCCAGAAAGAATGCTAGGATAGGTGCCAAATAGCATACCAGTAGTACTGCACAAAGCGGTGGCGGAAGTTTCAAAAATAGGAAACCTATAGGAGAGGTTGGTTGCTGTGAATCACGGATGGCAGAGCGAACCCACTGATGGACCGAAAGGTGCTTGAGGTCTCCTCTCTTTCTCTCTCTTTCTCTGATTATCTACATACCTACCTACCTACCTACCTACCTATCCATCCATCCATCCATCCATCCATCTATATCTTTCTCTATTTTTCTATTTTTCTATCTATCTATCCATCCATCCATCCACCCATCCATGCCTCCATCCATCCATCCATCTATCTATATCTTTCTCTATTTTTCTATTTTTCTATCTATCTATCTTTCTATCTATCTATCTATCGATCTATCAATCTATCTATCTATCTCTCTCTCTCTCTTTCATCTAATTGCCTATCTATCTATCAACCTATCTATCTTTCTCTCTCTCTCATCTAATTACCTATCTATCTATCAATCTATCCATTTACCTAGCTACCTCTATTAATCTATCCATCCGTCCATCCATTTATTTCTTTATCTTCGTACCCATCTACCTATCTAACTACCCACCCATCTACTTATCCATCCATCCATCCATTCATCCATCCATCCATCCATCTATCTGACCATCTTACCTATCTATTTGTCCCAAAGCCTTTTTTCCCGGCAGATCGCAACGTGACCAGTGCGGAGGATTATACACTCAGAAAAGACAAGTGCGAAAGCTTGCAAGACCGGAGTCATCATCGAAGCAAGGGGCCAGGAAAATGGACACACCGCTGTCGGTTTCGCGCCGTCAAAAAAGACTGACACGCAGGCTACAAGACCAAACGACATCGGTACGGCAACGTGACACTGCGCCTTTGTGCTGTCAGAAAAAACACACACGGAAGGCTGCAAAGAAAATGGGGAGACAGGAAACGGCCTGTCAGAAAGCATTCTGTCAAAGTGTTGCGGATCACGCAGGTTGTGCGCGCATCTGCTAGGAAATCTTCCATGGTGTAGACCCGCTGGCCACTCAAGGCGGACAGAAAAGTCACACCGCATGGACAACTGCTGGCACGGAGAAAGTATGGATACCGTCTGAAAGCTAAGACATCAATTAGCTAACCAAGTGTGCACTTTGTTACCTTTATTACTGCGCACTCGTCCATGGCTAGGCAGAATGTCTGGCATGCCGTCACACGATTGCGAAGGAGTCAAAGCAAAGCCATTAGCCAGATAGAATGTGAGAATAGATGCAAGAAAAAATATCAAATAGATTCAGACAGAAGATGATAATAAATGTCAGTTGTCTTCATGACAGGTAGAATGTCAAAATATACATGTCATATGTCTAAATGATATGTCAGAAACTATGTCAGAATAGTGTGTCAGAGTGGGGATCACTCGAAGATACTCGAAGTAAGGTGTTCAAAGGGCTCCATGCTCTCCTCGTCTCCTTCAAACATTTGCTCCGCGTCCTGGTGGCGATGGTGAACCTATAAACCAAGGTCTCTCAGTCAGCGCAGAATAAAACAAGAACTCCATATGCTTCTTGGTAGGTGAAAATATATAGAGAAATTGCAGCTTTCTTATCGCGATACATGTCCCGGCTGTGATTGACTGGAAGTAGGGAGGTGGGGTTGTTAATGTGGCACAGCATCCCCAAAGCCCACCCATAAACACAGCTAAAACCATGATAAAACTTCAATAAACCTCAACTCTTCAAACAACTACCAGTTTACATCAAATATGCATCCTAGACTCAGATCCTCTCAGTAGAAATGTGGTGATATAGACATTATTTAAGGACTTTGGCGGACTATTCTATATAAGTACTTGGAGGGACTGGGTATGCCATCTTTTAATGGAAAGTGTGTATTGATGTATGACATGAACAGCCCAATGCTGCGATGCTGCACCAGTCCTCCAAGAACATCTCGTTCATTTCTCCATCCAGAGGATAGCCTTCCCTTCGGTCCATCGTGGTGAAACAACACGGCACGCCGTGCCAAGAGGGTGCACCCCTGTGAATCTGCAATCGCTATAATATTTCTTCTGTAGATTTGAATCAGGCAGTGAACAAATGGCTAAACATATACTGGGAAAATATTGTAAAGGATTACTCACTTACCTTTCACTCTGAGGTGCCATTTCCAGTATGTAAACATGGCGGCAGAAAGTGCGCCGCCAAATCCTGTATATTTGGCGATATTTCGTGTAGAAACATATCAACTTTCAAACCAAGACTGGTATACAAACCATTGAAAAACCTGAGTCTTGAGCATGGGACATCTATATATCTCCACGAAGCCGCCACATGTCCCGGAAGTGCGTCGGTGGCTGCGGGTGCGCGATGCGTGGAAAATGTGACTTTTCAAGGGCGGTAAGCTCCTGAAAAAAATGCGCGTGGCTATAATGAGCTTGACACAACAACCAGGGGTAAGTACCCTCCGGTACTCAAACGTTGCTAATGGAAATGCCCAATAAATGAATGTAATGGAAAACTATGGAAAACTAATCTATTCACGACATAAATGGCATACACTCCCGCCGCTGGGCGCCCTCCAACGAGGCTGTGAGTATACCCGAAATCGTGGGGGGTTCGTCGATTGAATTCTGATAACCCTATAGTTCATATATGTATTGAATGAATGCAAACATCAGGGCTTCAGGAAGGTTTGATCAGGTTTATATATCGCATGGATTTCAACCAATGTTTACTTCGCTTTCGACCCATGCGCTGCCATGTCACGCGGGGTGCCGCGGATGTTGCACATCCACATCAATATCTCCAGGCCCCGGCGTGTCTGGGACATCCTGAGGCAGCAATAATCAATTTGGGTTAAGCAATACTAAATCATCCCTAATTTTACCATAAATGGGTGCTTCAAATGGGTATTTTTTTACTGCTTTGATAACATTATTGTTTGAAATTAGGGGTATTGAAACTTAGTTTTCTGCAATATAGATCGATAGATAGATAAATAGATAGATAAATTTTACTGTCAGTTCCGACCGGAATCACAACTGCACACCATGTTTGTTCAATCCGCCACCTGGTTTGACCTAAAATACCGTGGTAAAAATATTGAGAAACCTCCATACCACACTGAGAATTCTTGTAAACCATTTTGGGGTGTTTTATTTTGTGTGTTCATTATCGGTATTGCATGCACTTTCCTTCCTTATTGTCTTTATCATCCTTAATGTGGCATGTCCATCTCTTTTGTACATCATTACCTTTATCAGTATCTCTATTGTTACTACTATTATCAACTGATAACCCCAATTGATAGGGAATATAGATACGTAGAGATACCCCTGCTCCTTAGCCCCCTACTGACCGCTGGATAGGTTATTGTCCTTATTATTGCTGCTACAATTATCACAATGATTGAGTTCACCTGGAGATTGCCCGGTTGGAGACCAAAGTTTGTGGCTTATTCATGGAAAAATGGACGCACCAAAGATCATCATTCAAAACAGCCTTTGAGCATTGCCATCAGGCCACATGATCAGAAGGGCTATCAGTTTGTCCCCAAATTTGATCACTTTTCATGCAACAAGTGTGATTTTCCAGTAGGATCTTGGGGATACCTGGGATACCATGGTATACCCATTGCTGGACCCACATCATCGCCCCGAAGCTTGTTCCAAGGATCAAAATTAAAGGCTTTGTGGCAGCGCCCGAATGACCGCGGTCGCTGCTTCACCGAAGTCTCGCAAATGCTGCGAGACGGGCATCAATGTTAATTGGGTACTTGCAGCTATCTTGGTCAAACAAATAGATAGCTTGATAAGGATTTGTTTTTCCATATCTTGATTTTGAGTGCTTACAATGGACTTTGTGGGCCCAAGTGGCTCCCCCGTGCCTGGCAAGTCATGAATCTATCAACACATTGCCGCAACGTCAGACTGTGGTGATGTCGCCCCAGCATGTTACAAAAGTTTGGGTAGGCCGGCGCGTGCTTGCTATACAAATCCGGTGATGCGCCCATAGGTTTCGGCCAGTAGTCATGAGGCAAGTGGTTCCAATCCTCAGAACATGGCAGCCCTGTTGAAATGATTGGATGTAGCAGCACGCAGGATTGCCTGAAAATGGAGCATACCGGCATACCGTATAACTGTACCTCCAAAATCGCCATTGAATAGAGGAACTCATGATAATGAATTATCAATCCCAGGTTGTTTGATTGATTAATTCTGTAATGGATCTCGAGGTATCCTATTTTCAGACCAACCCTTGCAGCAACAAGTTGCTGGTTTTGCCGAGAACCTGGACTGGCTGTTGGGCATAATCGCTTAGGATTCGGTACAATGATCATTGTCTTCATCATCACCATAATAACAGTCAAAACAATCATAACAATAACAATAATCATCACCACCACCACCACCACCATCATCATCATCATCATCCCTATTTGCCAGCGTCACTTCCTCACATATCTTTATTGAATATATTGTCGGGGCTTCCTGGGAATACCATGCAACCAGGTTAGACTTGGCTGGTTTCCCACTTTTTAACGCAGCCCCCCAATGTTGGAAGGTTCGGGTGGATCTTGATATGTCGCGGGGTAGCGGATGTTTAGACACCCCTGCGGGTTCTACGTATAGACTCTCTCTCTCTATATATATATATATATGGTGCACCATTGCTTTATCGGACACGAGAGTTCCAGTCTACAAACCCGGCAACATGCTGCTTCTCGGAAGATCCCTAAGTCAGGTCTCTGACAGAGAAGCAAAACCACAATCGGTAAGGACAACAGCGTTATTAACCCCGACAAAGATAAGACAAGTAACATATTATTTTACCACTAGTTTTCGAGGATATTGCTTTTCTATCTGTTTGGACCTTCATCATATAATCATAAACTACACAAATCCCAGATGCATCGGTGAAAAGACAGTCTCCAAATCATTGGGTTGGTCTCAACAGAACTCCTGCAAGAACCCCATCATCTCAGTATGGAGATACATCGACCATAAATCCATCCGTTAGTCGAAATCAAAAACCAGTTACCTATCAGACATCAACTGTTAATCCCTATTTTCCTTGGTTAAGTCTCACTTTTGGCAAGGTAAATGATGATAAATCACCATTGACCTATGGGGCCCTTCAACACCAAGGGGCCCGGTCGCCAGTTCCGAAGCCCCAGGATGGTTTCACCTGGTCCATGGGTATAACATGGGACCATAAAGCCCCCAAAAAAGTTGGGATATAGCCCCTATAACTATGGTTTTCCACTGTAAAAAATCTTATAACTATGAATGGTTCTCCCACTGAGTAAATTGATATAAATAGGTTATACGGTTATACCGTCTAGTTACTTAGTTATACCGCTGTTATATACTTATATATGGAATTATAATATGGGTTATATATGGTTGTATCTGGGACTATAATTCACTTACTAAATAAGGTGCACATTCAAATAGCCACAGAAAATGGGTGGTCCATTTGATGATTTTTTTCCATCCTATCTTCATGCGGTTGTGGTTGTGAATGATCGGCATTCTTTCCATTGATGTTTAACATGTGCCACATCCAACTGTCATTGCGGAAAAATGGAAACACCTGCAATAAACACATATATATATAATTAAATATAATTAAAACCAAAATAGCAATAATCATCATAATAACAACTAATTAAATAAATATATATATGTATATATATATAGTTTTTGTTGTCCATCTTCAGCCCCGGAAGACCTGGCCTGGCCCTTGGGGCTAGGGCTATAGCGCCCCGGTCCTGGAGATGAGTCCTGGAGGATCAACATGAGCACGTATGACATGCACCATGTATGCAATGGACATATGTAGACTTTCGAGTGGCTATGTTTTAAGGAGGCCACAAGTGTTTGGGCCTACCTTTTGAAAATCGGCTGGGTGGTACATGAAAAAACGCTTTGAAAAGTGTCTCAACTACTTCTTGTGGTGCTAATTCCTGAAACATAAAAAACTTTGGATTGCACTATTTTTAGGCATCATAACTTGGGGACTATGAACATTTACATATTTCTTCTGCAGAGGAGCACTGCAAAAATGGGGGTGTTTACCCCCAGGGGTCACCCGCGGTCCGCTTTCATCTCAACCACGATTTGATTGGTCACATTGTCCAGCTTGATTTCACACATGTGAAGATCAGTTAAGGTTCACATTTTTGCCGAACTTAACCAATTTTTGACCAACCTGACCAACTTTTGAGCAACTTGACCAATTTTTCACCAGCATGACCAAGTTGGTCAATTTCTGACCAACTTGACCAACTCTTGACCTACTTCACCAAGTTGGTCATTTTTGACCAACTTGACCAACTTTTGACCAACTTGACCAAGTTGGTCAATTTCTGACCAACTTGACCAAGTTGGTCAATTTTTGACAAACTTGACCAACTTTTGACCAACTTGATCAAATTGGTCATTTTTGACCAACTTGACCAACTTTTGACCAACTTGACCAACTTTTGACCAACTTGACCAACTTTTGACCAACTTGACCAACTTTTGGCCAAGTTGGTGATTTTTTGACCAACTTGACCAACTTTTGACCAAGTTGGTCACTTTTGACCAACTTGACCAACTTTTGACCAAGGTGGTCATTTTTGACCAACTTGGCCAAAAATTGGCCAAGTTCGTGTTTTATGAACAACTTCGTCAATTTTTGGCCAAGTTTGTGATTTTTGACCAACTTGGCCAACTTTTGACCAAGTTGGTGATTTTTGACCAACTTGGTCAATTTTTGGACAAGTTAGTGATTTTTGAACAACTTGGTCACTTTTTGACCAAGTTGGTAATTTTTGACCAACTTGGTCAATTTTTTACAAAGTTGGTGGTTTTTGACCAACGTTGCCAATTTTTGACCAAATTGGCCAAGTTGGTGATTTTTGACCAACTTGGTTAATTTTTGGCTAAGTTGGTGATTTTTGACCAACTTGGTCAAATTTTGACAAAGTTTGTCATTTTTGACCAATTTGACCAGATTGACAAACTTTTGACCAAGTTGGTCATTTTTGACCAACTTGACCAATTTTTGACAAATTTTTGACCAACTTTACCAACTTTACCAACTTTGACCAACTTTACCAACTTTTGACCAACTTGACCAACTTTTGACCAACTTTTACCAACTTTACTAACTTTTGACCAACTTTACCAACTTTTGACCAACTTTACCAACTTTTGACCAACTTGACCAACTTTTGACCAACTTTACCAACTTTTGACCAACTTTACCAACTTTTGACCAACTTTTGACCAACTTTTGACCAACCTGACCAACTTGACCAACTTGACCAACTTAAGGGCACAAGAAGTGTTTGCAGCCAAATTTAGACCATTCAGAAGTAGTTTTGCTGCTAAAATTTTCAAAATTTACCACGAAAACTACTTCTTAATGGTCTAAATTTGGCTGCAAACACTTCTTGTGCCCTTAAGTTGGTCAAGTTGGTCAAGTTGGTCAGGTTGGTCAAAAGTTGGTAAAAAGTTGGTAAAGTTGGTCAAAAGTTGGTAAAGTTGGTCAAAAGTTGGTCAAAAGTTGGTCAAGTTGGTCAAAAGTTGGTAAAGTTGGTAAAGTTGGTCAAAAGTTGGTCAAGTTGGCCAAAAGTTGGTAAAGTTGGTAAAGTTGGTCAAAATTGGTCAAGTTGGTCAAAAGTTGGTAAAGTTGATCAAAAGTTGGTCAATCTGGTCAAATTGGTCAAAAATGACCAACTTTGTCAAAAATTGACCAAGTTGGTCAAAAATCACCAACTTAGCCAAAAATTAACCGAGTTGGTCAAAAATCACCAACTTGGTCAAAAATTGGCAAAGTTGGTCAAAAATCACTAACTTGGCCAAAAATTGACCAAGTTGGTCAAAAATCACCAACTTGGTCAAAAGTTGACCAAGTTGGTCAAAAATCACAAACTTGGTCAGGTCAAAAATTACAAACTTAGTCAAAAATTGACTAAGTTGGTCAAAAACCACCAACTTGGCCAAAAAATGACAAAGTTGGTCAAAAATCACCAACTTGGCAAAAAATTGACCAAGTTGGTCAAAAATCACCAATTTGGTCAAAAATTTGCCAGGTTGGTAAAAAAATGACAAACTTGGTCAAAAGTTGGTCAAAAATGACCAACTTGATCAAGTTGGTCAAAAGTTGGTCAAGTTGGTCAAAAATGACTAATTTGGTCAAAAGTTTCTCAAAAGTTGGTCAAGTTGGTCCAAAATGACGAACTTAGTCAAATTTTGGCAAGTTGGTCAAAAATAACAAACTTGATCAAGTTATTCAAAAGTTGGTCAAGTTGGTCAAAAATGACAAATTTGGTCAAAAGTTGGTCAAGTTGGTCAAAAATGACCAACTTGGTCAATTTGGCCAAAAGTTGGTCAAGTTGCTCAAAAATGACCACCTTGGCCAAAAGTTAGTCAAAAGTTGGTCAAGTTGGTCAAAAATGTCAAACTTGGTCCAAAGTTGGTCAAGTTGGTCAAATCTACAAATTTGGTACTTGGTCAAGTTGGTCAAAGGTTGGTCAAGTTGGTCAAAAGTTGGTCAAGTTGGTCAAAAAATTGACCAACTTGGTCAAATTGGTTAAAGGTTGCTTGGGTTGGTCAAAAATGACTAAGTTTCTCAATTTGTCACCAACTTGACAAAATTTTGACCAACTTGACCAAGTTGGTCAATGTTTGACCAACTTGACCAAGTCATTGGGACGCCTGTGTCCCCAAACTGATTTCACATGGTTTAACTATGCTTAGCTAAGCGCATGCATGTTCTGATTACAAACAGAAAAGGAAATGAACCAGAAATTGGCAACGAAAGGATGAACTGCAGGTGGAAGGTGCTCAAAATGTACCAAAACAACCCTCGTATGGAAATAAAGGCTTCACAAGTGGTTGTGCCCAACACCCCTCTGCCGTCAGTTGACAAAAAGCATTCCAACAGGGCAATACTACTTCTTGGTGCACTATTTTTTTTTAAACCTTAAAACGAGGCAACTTGAAATTCTACATGGACATATGCGTATATGCGTCTAATATATATATATATATATATTTACAATACATAGATATGTTTAAATAAAGATATTTACCCATATGTATATACATTGCACACACACATATATGTAAACAACTATATAATATATATACACATACGTACGTTATATTCTGTGTGTATATATATATATATTTATATATTGTACATACAATATAAAGATTCCCTGCCTGAATGATGCTTCTCCGAGACCCCTGGAATGAACGCAGTCCTGTTTCTCAACGAAGCGGTCGCGTTTGCGAGGGCTCCTGGCCCAGGACATGGTGAGGCGTGACAGCTGGGGGCAACGAAGCAACGACACTCGGTGAGTTGGCCAGTTGGCGAACCATTGCGAACCGGGAGCCAGCAGGAAGCAGGAAAATCCAGGAAATTCCATGAAATATCACCCTCCATTTTATTAATTTTAGGAGCTTCCAAGATGTTCCAAGTAAGCTTGAGCTGGATTCAGCTGGATGTTCAATGCCACAAGGCATGTGTACTCCCCAGAATATGTGTGTCATATTTATTCGTGTTTCAGGCATGGGTTTGTTTGTTTGAACAATTGGTTCCCCCTGAATCTATTGATTACTAATCACATATATAATCACTATTCAGCATCCCTATTGCCATTTCCGGGGTATCACAGGTGACTATCACAGAGTGAGAGGCAGGTGCCGTCAAAGCAACATACGTGCGTCTCACAAAGTGGAGGGGCCCCCCAACTGTCTGGGGTATCCGCCCCGAGGACCAAATCTGGGAACAGTAAAGAACTGGCTTTCCTCAGTCTCTCCAATGACCTCCTTCAATCATATTCATTTGAGTTCAGAAGTGGGCCAACCCAAACCCCCATTATCCACACAAAATTGCAGTTAAACGCCTGATCCAGATGTGTTTTCAGATTTTAGAGGAGATTACTTGGTTTAAGTTTGAATATGATATATGTTTATACGGACGTGATCCCCACACCCATATCCCATACACTCATATGGATGGTTGAGCTTGTACATGCTTGTACTGTAAACGGTAGTTGTTGGTGTTTAAGGTTTGCCCTTCATCCCATGGTCGCGGTCGGATTAACCAATGGATATCAATGGGAATTACTGGGAATCACGAGTTAATGATGTTCCAAACAAGTATCACCTGGTAGAACAGCATCTTTTCAATAGAACAGCATATCAAGTTAATAGATGAACCAATGGGAAAACTAAACATCATCTTCAGCAAAACAGGCAATTTTTCATGATGTAACCCCCCGTCTGTCCACACTGACTTTGCCAAGTCTCCATTGAGGATGTGGCCCCAGAACCCACTTGGGTGCACCAGAATAGTCGCTGAAGTTCCTGGGCTCATGGTGCAATCCTGGACAAGTTTACACAGTTAAATCATCCAAGGCAACGTTGTAGTGAACAACTCCAACTAACAGGATTTAGTCTAGTCTCCCAGTTTCAAGCTTCTCTTAGTTGGAAGCAAATTATGTTCAGATTAAACCAGCTACCTTGCTTCCAGCCAGCAGAAACCCGCCAGATTTTTCTTTGGGTGGTCCCAGTTGGGCCCATCGGCCCTAAACCATCCAAAATCTTGCGCCCAGCTGGGTAGTCACTGAAAACTCATTGAACACATGAGATTTCGCCATATTTCGCCATATTTCCAGCAGAATGCAGTAGCTGAATAGGGCCAATACAAGGTGAGGTTTCTCATGTGATATCTCCCCTGGAACCCCCTGGACTTCACCAAGTATTTGTGTCAACTTGGCTATCTATTGACTCACCTTTGTAACAGAAACCCTTATAAATTATATAATCCTTTATATGACTGTTGGGCATGGGCCAGCCTCTGAAGCCATGCGGATAAGGGGCCGATTGTGATCCGCAGTGCGTTAAGTGATGTTATCAAGAAATAAAATATCTAAACACCTTTTTGTTGGTTTCAACCTCAACGAGTTTTTCTGCTGATCAACCCCCCAATCTTCTTCGTGATACCTTCTTACAGCACATCCAGTGCTTTGTTGATGAAGCCTCTGTTGCATGTGGCATTCTCTCTACATGTATCTAACTCTAACTTGTTTCCGCAAGGTGCGTCAGCACGCGGCGTGGGCTTTCGCTTCCCATGGCTCCAAGTGCGCGACGCGCGCATGATGCGTAGACATAAAACAAATCTACGTATTGGTACAAAAGCGCATGTTGATACCGTAAATAATGGGGATACAGTAAACCATCTACCAACTGGTGCAGGATTTTTCCGTCCACAATAGTTCATCTATTATGTATGATATTGTATCTTAGGTAAAAAATTTAAAAAATAAATAAACATTTAATATCATTCACAGGATTTGAGTATAAATTGATCGCTTGATATCATTTGTGCCTGGATATGGCACAAACGAACTTAGTAGCTCATGCTCCATGCAGTTTTCCTGTCGCCATGAGTCAGCCAACATTTTCCTGAGCGACAAAGCAATCACTGAGATACGCGTCACTCGCAGAAAAGAGTGCTGACTGACTGATGGATAAATGCACAATATAGGTACCCTCTGGTAAACAAACAGTTTGTTATTGAAATGGTGATTTATAGTGTTGATTTACACATTAAAAATGGTGATTTTCCATAGTTATGTTAGTTCACCAGAGAGTAAATATCTCTATGATGTAGGACCATAGTCCCAGCTACCACGGACGTATATATTGGATTATATTGGAACTACCAACTAATACTTTGATATTGAATTTACATCAATACGTTCACAGAAGATGCGCAAAAAGGTTGGCTTTTCGACGGTACCCAAGTCGTCACCTTTGAATCAGTTTCCAAGTTGGAAATGCGGAATAGGGATGCAGAACAGCTGATATAGTTCCCCCACAACATCCCGCATTAAATCTGCTCGGAGTTGTGGCCGGGCCGCACCCTACCTTGCTGACTTCGCTCCTGGGGGCAAACGGTGCCTCACTGGGGCCGCCTGATAACCACCAAGTTAAAATGGAAAAAAAACAACACTCTCAGCATAAGTAGTCATGTGCATCCGTACCTAACTATGTGATACTATGTGTAATATATATGTAGCATCCGTCCATTATATATATATATATATTAATTATATCAGATATGATATATATCTAAGGACAGAACAAAGCATATGCATGTGGCTTTTTCAAGAAGCGCACATTTACTGGTTATTCCTTTCCCATCCAACCCCCCATTCCACGCACACATCTCCCGGTGAATCAACTTTTGCCGTCAGCTGCTGCGCGCTTGCTTGGTGACACGGTTCTGCCACACGCGGCACAAATACATCCCACAGAGCAAACCCACCACGAGGCCCCCGAGTGCTGATTGGATAGGCGACCTCAGAGGTGAAGCCACGAGGAGAACCGGAACCAGCGGATATCATATCTGATTGATATATTAAATCTTGGTTATAACGTTCTGACTCACTTCAATCAAAGGAATTACAGCTACGGAATACGCTGGTAGATGCTGGTAGTACAAGTTGAGCGCATTTACATAGGTTCTTCTATATAATCATTTGTCGGCTCGGATGCACAGGAATAATGGGATATGTAGAACAACATTCTGGGTCAAAAGGGAACAACACTTTATGAGAATCAACAAGCACCTTGGATCTTGGCTGCTTGCAGTTTGACACACAGCACCCTCAAATTTCATTGTCAGTTGGATGTGTCTCAGAAAAGGACATTTGGTGGTGAAGCATCTCATTTTGACATATATTTTGACTTTTTTTTGATCTGGCTCGACACCAGCTCCAAACGAGCATATACCTCTCACTTTTCACCTGGATAGCATGGGATGCCCCATTCTCGATGATTCGATGCCCCAATTTTTATCCCAACACTCTCAAAACCACGACAAACCCAGGTTGGCTAATCTTTGTCATCTTTTGCACCCTGCAGTAGCGAAAGGAAAACATGACCGTTTTGATCTATCAGAATCTACCCTTCGCCACCTGGCTTTCCCAAAGACCTTTTCTTGCAGAATCCGATGTGCTTGATTAAATTCAAGTAAGAAATAGATTTACCAAGCACAATCCACGTAAATCAAGTATATAAAGTGTAGTGTAGTCCATGAATAATGTAACATATAATATAACTCCAAATTCATCCAAATTCTTCATGGTCTCCACCCTGGTGTAGCCAGTCATCGATCGAGCGTCACCTCCATGGGGACCTGCGGCCCCATGTACAAACGCAGCGGCGAGGCGGTTCCCGCGCGCGGCTCGGGCGCGGGCGCCTGCGGCGCGGGCCTTGAGTCGACGCTGGTGGTGACCTGGCGCCACGAAAGCGAAGAAGAAAAAAAACAAGAAAACAACATAATAACAATAAAAACGTAATAATAATAAACAAATAATATTACAAATAACAATAGTAATAACAAAAAATAATAGTAATAATAAACAATAATGGTAATAATAATGATAGTAAAAATAATAATAGTAATAGTAAAAATAAAAAATGGTAATAATAAAAAAAATAATAGTAATAATACAAATAATGAAAATAAAAATAAAAAATAGAAAATTAGTAATTAACAAAAAAAAATATAGTAGTAATAAAAATAATGATATAAAAAAAAATAAAATAAAAAGTAATAATAAAAATAATAATAATAACAGTATTGATAAAAAAATATTAGCAATAATAAACCATTTAATAATAGTAATAGTTAGTAATAATAATAGTAATTAAAAAAGGGAACAACACTTTATGAGAATCAACAAGCACCTTGGATCTTGGCTGCTTGCAGTTTGACACACAGCACCCTCAAATTTCATTGTCAGTTGGATGTGTCTCAGAAAAGGACATTTGGTGGTGAAGCATCTCATTTTGACATATATTTTGACTTTTTTTTGATCTGGCTCGACACCAGCTCCAAACGAGCATATACCTCTCACTTTTCACCTGGATAGCATGGGATGCCCCATTCTCGATGATTCGATGCCCCAATTTTTATCCCAACACTCTCAAAACCACGACAAACCCAGGTTGGCTAATCTTTGTCATCTTTTGCACCCTGCAGTAGCGAAAGGAAAACATGACCGTTTTGATCTATCAGAATCTACCCTTCGCCACCTGGCTTTCCCAAAGACCTTTTCTTGCAGAATCCGATGTGCTTGATTAAATTCAAGTAAGAAATAGATTTACCAAGCACAATCCACGTAAATCAAGTATATAAAGTGTAGTGTAGTCCATGAATAATGTAACATATAATATAACTCCAAATTCATCCAAATTCTTCATGGTCTCCACCCTGGTGTAGCCAGTCATCGATCGAGCGTCACCTCCATGGGGACCTGCGGCCCCATGTACAAACGCAGCGGCGAGGCGGTTCCCGCGCGCGGCTCGGGCGCGGGCGCCTGCGGCGCGGGCCTTGAGTCGACGCTGGTGGTGACCTGGCGCCACGAAAGCGAAGAAGAAGAAAAAAAATAATAACAATAAAAAAGTAATAATAATAAATAGTACAAATAACAATAGTAATAACAAAAAATAATAGTAATAAAAAATAGTGGTAATAATAATAGTAAACATAATAATAGTAATAGTAAAAATTAAAAAATAGTAATAAAAAAAAACTAAAAATAGTAAAAATAAATATAGTAAAAATAACAATAATAAAAATAGAAAAGTAGTAATAAAAAAATAGTAGTAGTAATAATAATAATAGTAATAATATTAAAAAATAATTATAAAGTAAACATAATAATAATAACAGTAATAATTAAAAAAAAGCAATAATAAACAATAATAATAGTAATAATAATAGTATTAATAATAATAGTCCTAATAATGATAAAAGTAAAACTAATAGTAATAATAAAAATAAAAGTAATCATAATAACAACAGCAACAACAACAAGACCAAGAAGACCAAGAACAATAACAAGATAGCAAAGTCAAATTTCAGTACCCACGGTAAATGATGTTGCGTCTATTCTTTGTTTGTGTGGAAACAAATCGCAGTCTATGTAGAGTTTCAAGGCATGAAGTATTCTCTTGAGACTTCTGAACTGAAATGTTAACCACAAAAAGCGCAGGTTTTAGAAACATGGCAAGCATCAAGATTTGATGGCAACACAAGGGATCGTTCTCCTATTAATCTCATACGTATCACCTATATTCCCCATTAAATCCCATAGTATCCCCATTTCTGGTCTGTCTTGTTTTTTGAAGCCCAGAAATTGTGCCCCCACATTGGTCCACACTGGAAACATCCGAGGGCGCGGGCCTCAGGCAGTATCGTCTCCATCGGAGAGACCGGGGCAGCCGGGGCCTGATCCCATTTCAGGGGCTTTCTTGGAAGAGATGGATGAAACATGTTGAACCCGTAGATTTAGGAGTCTTAAATTTTCACACCGAGACATATCGCAAAGTATGATGTGACTTGTGTGTGTGGCAGATAAGAAACAAACATTTGGAGATGTACAATCCCCCAAAAAAAACAGAGACCCTGCCAAACAGGGGAATGGACCATGACTTTCCCTTAACAAAAACACAATGTTTTTCTCGGGATCTATGTTAATTGGGGGAATGTTAGACCAACCAAACTGGACCAATGGAGATTAGATCAACAAATCATGACAATCCCTCGGCTGGTGGCACCATGGAGGTTGTGTAAGTAACATCGGTTAGCTCCCACATCTACATACTCATTTCAAATAATCGAAGAAGCTACTAGAATTTGGAACAGTTCTAGATTATAGTAATGCAATACCAGCATTGGCATATAATATAATATAATTCTACTTATTCAGCACGCAGTAAATGTACAGAAGTTGAGTGTACCAGGTGGTTCCAAGTCACGCTAAAGGGCTCCACGGCAACCTCCACCAGCTGCCAAGGGAAGCGAACTGCCTGCGCTGCAATCCTCCGAAAAAAAACATGCCGAAAAGGTGAAAACCTGGAAAATAAAACGAGAAAACATCCTCTGTACCAACCTTTTTGGGCTTGTTGTACTCATTTAAAGTTTGACTTCCTCCACTTTTGGTTGACTCTTGTTGCTGCGGACATTTTCCCATGTTTCTCCCTTGCTCGAGAACCCAACAAACAACAGGTGGTAAGGACCTCTGGGCTACAACAGCGAAAGCGGACCAATGGCACCACAAATTTCTTTTCCTGACATCAACATGTGCAATTAGTTCAGGATTTTCCTTGGACATATGTGCTAATTGATGTTCACCTATGAAACCAACAACAACAACAACAACAACACCAAACAACACCAAACAACACCAAACAACACCAAACAACACCAAACAACAAACAACACACAACAACAACAACAACAACAACAACAACAACAACAGCTAGACCACAACGCATTAAGCAACATAAGTCCAATTTGATTTCAGTCAGGCGTATATAAGATAAAGAAAACACAGTGAACATATATATATATACATATTTACCTATGTAAAGGAAACAAATGATCCCAACTGGAATTGCAAATGCGTGGGTTAAGTCCAAATCATTATCTTTAAACTCCATTGATACCCCCAATCCCTAAGCCATAGTTCTATAGATTGCCCGTAGGTTGCGGAGGCTTCATTTTCTCTCTCTCTCTCTCTCTATCCATCACCTTCTCAAGTTCAGCAGGGCAAAGGATGAGTCTTCATCGGTACCCGCATTATTGTAAACACAAACCGCCAAGTTCCACCATTTTGGGATAGTTACCCTTGCTTGGCATCATTTCTAATGCCGTCGTGTTGTCGTTTCCACTTCTGCCGAGCAAATCCCATAACATCCACACCTGTTTAATCCCATACATTCCCATACCCCATGTTAAATCAAATTTCATATATATGCCATGATATTGAACCCATGTACGTAAATTCTTTGTGTTGCTTATGGTGAAATCCCAAGTTTCAAATCGATATCTCAATGTGCTGCCCATGTTTGTTGGTTGAATTTCCACTTTCAGACATTGGTATGAGTCAAAACCCTCGTGCATTTCAGTCCCCAAAGGCTATGTAACTTGTGGTTCGCCCCACAAATCCACACTGTGTCAAAACTCCAGTCATGACTGGACATTGCACCTACCCGACTGAACTGACTGGGGTGAACAAATTGTTCCAGTTCTTTTCCCTTTACTGTAAACCCTATCATTAAACCCCATCTAAATCCTGTTAAAATCCCATGCAAGTCAAGTGACAAATCCTTTCAAAACCCATTAAATGCCTGTTAAAACACCATTAGAATCAATTTAAACTTTCATTTAAACACCGTGAAAAACACATGAAAAGCCTGGCAAAATCCATTGAGATCTGGTTCGATTCCATTGAACTCCCATTGAAACCATACCGTCACTAAAATTCATCAAAATCTGTTGAACATCCAATGAAATCCCATGTTAAAAAATGCAAAAAGCCATTCTATCAAATCCTGTGAAAATCCAATGGATTTAGAATCCCATTAAATTGTATCCGTTTTTCAAAACCATGTTCAAACCATTGTTCATTGAAGTCCCTTTTAATAATCCAACTAAACATCCCATTAGACATAATAATAATAATTTGAATCTTGAATCCTGTGAAAAACCATCCCATCAAATCCAATGAACCAATCTTTGCAAAACACAGGTTACCCTCCGCTAATCAAACGTGGCTGGAAATCCACGATCGAAATGGGGCATGGGGCTTGAAAAATAGGAAAATCACCGAACTAAATTTTAAAGTGTGTATTTTCCAGCACGCCATGTTTGATGACACCGGAGGTTAAAACCCCATGAGAAAGTCCGGCAGCCTGATCCCCGCCTCGATCCGACTGCTCTCGCCCGAGGCCACCGCAACGGCAGAAGCCAGGCCCTGATACCTGGGTCATCGCGAAAAAGTTGTCATAAAACAGCGATTTTTCACCAACAAAAATAGTGATTTAAGTAACAAAGATTCGTGATTTAACCAGTGCAAAAAAATAAGGTGATTTAAAGCTACCCAGCAAAAATAGCGATTCAACCAGCAAAAGTAGTGATTTAAGCAACAATCATGGGCTTTAAGCAAGGAAAATGATGCTCTCACCTAGAACAACAATGATTTAACCAACACAATTTGCGATATGAATTTGTAAAAAAAATCAAGGCTGGGGATTTAATTGATTTTGATGTGGACAAAATGGATCAAAATGGTGGTTTGTAACCAACAATGAGATTTCTTGGTCTGCCTGAAAGCGGAATAAGAACAGCACTTGACAATGGTAGTATACAATGATGATGAATAATCCATGGATGGAATGGTGTACCTTAATTTCAGACAAACCCAGGGTATCAATCTAGCTGGGATATAACTATCATATCTGGGTGATACATAGTGGCGCAGCAAATCCGAATCTGGGCAAAGTGTAAGACTTGTAAGTTACCTTGTAAGCGAACTATCAACTGAAATGATCCAAGTACATAAATAAAGCAAAAAAAAACATCATCATCATCATCACCACCACTGGCCGCATGGCGAGGCATTAAGTTCGTGTAAGCCACCAAAACGGCTACATAATGAACACCGAAAAACAAAAAGAAACAAGGTTCAAGGCCTGCATGCTTTGCAATCCTTCATGTCGTATTTTTCTAACTTTACAACCTAAACATAACACACGATTGGGAATTCACACGGAAAACAAAAAGGGTATATATTTGAGAATTGGACGTGACCTGTCTTCATTTGTAGTACAGAATTGACATATAAATAAATGAACGGGCATAGTGCACAGATGATATGTAGAACCAACTAAGACTGGATTAGGAACGGATAACTGAGTTAATGGGGTCCATTGATAGTTGGCTAGTTGGGATATGAGCTGCCGTAAACAAGTTGATTTAAACAGGGCATACGGGGGCGATAATTTCAATAATGGGATTCCTTAGCATGGAACAAGACATATTCTAGCTTCAACTAGTGTACTGCTTTAAGGACTTCAACCCCTTTTCCATCAACTCCGTGATGTCTGAGTGCAAAAGCTACGACACCTCCGCAGATCATCCACACATCCTGTATCAACTCTATTCCACTTTTTTTTTTTTATCCTGGCCGAGTTTCGAGATGTAGCCCATGCTGTTGGCAAACTGGAACAAACCCATGTTGTCCTGGAAGTTGGGATGCCATGCTGGGCATTTTTTCGAATGGACTTGGGCCGAATGGGGCCCCTTTGTGAAAAACGGGGGGCAAGCTGAGGAAATGTTTCAGGAGACGGATGGACGGATGTCAAGCAATTTTCTATAGTTTTTTTCTATGATAATTTCATCTCAGGATGACGTAGAGAAGTAGAGACGTATTTCCAACAAACAAAAAGTGTATAGTGATGGCCCTTACAGCAAGGGTTCACTGGGCGGGGACTGTTCATACGTCGGGTCTTCCCATCGAGCTAAGCATCGAAGCTGATGAGAAGGGTGGGCCTTGGAGCACCCTATGAGCTGGGCATGAAATGATTGAAATGACTGCCCCGCAAAAGCATCAACCATGCCAACCTACCCATTGGAACGTTAAACCAGGAACAAAGAAAATGAAATTGAGAAGTGAGATCATGTTTCAAGTCCGTTGCCAAAGGCAAAATTAAACATTTGACACGAAGACCCTGGTTGTAAAAGAAATAACCCTAGCCAGCGATGGAAACAATGGAACACAGCAAAACAGCCACCCAATGGTCCTCGTTAATATAGTTATTCCAATCCAAAAAGACACAAAAGCTCTGGGGAGAAGTGTGCAGGTTCAATCTGGCTATAGTATAATTTTCGGCTGCGCATGTAGTTGTCAGTTTATAGATGTAAATCGCCCAATGCTTCGGGGAATATCTCGTATGCCTGGACCCTCCATTTGCGCATGACATCCCTGACACATGATGTGTTACAACTTAGCTATAACGTAGATGCATTTAATCAAATTTGCCAATACCCGTGGAATCTTACATAGGTACTTTGATTGTTGTGGTTTCAGTGGGTACGTTTAAACAAAACTTGGTAAACAATTAAGCAGGGCCCCAAGATAGACAAATTGTTTCATAATTTCACTGGATTTTTGACGAACACATCTACAGCTTAGCGGGTTGAAATGACTGATACATCTACGGCTGAATGGGCTGAAAAGGTTTACAAACCAATGCATATATATAATCCAATTTAGAACTGTGGGACCCCATGCGGTTACATGGTGCTGCCAACAAAGATGACGTAACCCCTCAACTAGGGACCCCAACTTCCAACGGGAACCCCATGTGTCATTATGCGTCATTACCCCACTAATCGTCGTCGTAACCTTGTCGTAACTCGTCAACACTGTCAATCTCCAAGTAAATCCTTATAAGTTGGTTTAAAACTCCAATAAAGCTGGGATTCAATCAGCCTATGGATTCCACAAAAATGAATCCCAAATGATCATCCCATCTCATGAAGTTGATCAACATCTATTAACATAATGTTAACATATCTTAACTTAGTTATATCCCCGACTGCCATTGCAAATCATTGCAGTGCATGTCAGGTGATCATCCCATCATCTCATAAATAAGTTGGTTTTTGATTCATAACCTATTAACATCAAATTTATATATTAACTACAAATATAAACACGGTATATACTTATATATACCAGTCATATACATTTATACTGGTAGTTAACTACGGTACTACAGATATCGTCCCCCCAAAACGCCATTGCGATCGTCCCGGCAAGGGACGGGTAGGTCAGGTTCTCCTTGGCTTCGGTCTCCTTGCGGCTGCCGAAGAAGCGCGTCTCATCCACGCGGCCCTTGCTGGAGCGATCCTCGGAACCGCGGATCGATATGGATCGATAGTCCGTACATTGATATGAATAGGATTTTTATGGTGCATATATATATATACTTACAATATATATATATATGTGTGTATGTATGTATAAAACATATATATCTATATATATATATATAGATATGGTATGCAAAATATGAATCCTAAGTGGTATATCTATAATATTTAGAGTTTTCTATAAGGACTACATCTTATGTAGACATACCATTTTTGAACCACATATATCCATATATATATAAACAATATATACATAAATTGGTTATTATGGGTTGTAAACTCCGCAAAGTAATTGGGATGCACATCCAGGCAGGGCAAGTGTTGCTCCAAATGTCCTCAGGTACTGGTTAGAGCCACAAAATCAACTACAAACATGCATAAAATATATATAATTGAATTACACATGCAATCTCAGAAAATGTTGGGGGCTGCAGGGACATCTCATAGAGTTTCATACCTATATCATCCATCATATCATGGTGTATTGAAGATGTATTCACCGATATTTCGTTTTTGGGTGTTAGTATACGTCAAATGTACAACACCTGGGTGGCATAGAATCAGGGCTGGGACTGGGGATTCCAAACAAAACAACCGAGGAAACGAGGTAGGTATTGAGTAGCTGATGGTTGGTTGTCAGAAAAACCCTGGGAAGTTTGTCAGCAGTAACACATAGTTCGGTAAGGCAACAATCCAATCATTTACTTTTATAGATTAATCGTGATTTCCGGGAGTGTTTGAGGTGGTTTCAACGCGGGGCCCTCAAGATAGCTAAGTTCGGATGGATGGATGGATGGATGGGTAGGAAGGTAGGTAGGTGTCTTACTTTAATGGTAGACAAATGTGTAAAACCATCGTTTCTGGCGGTCAAATATGTTTAACCCATGCAGCATTTCTTGGTTGCCAGTGCATCACCATCGCCCAGACACTACCTTCAGCTTGCCCATGGTCGTTTGCTCGATTGCACACGTCAACTTTTCCGGGGTTACCTGAATGGTGGTCGAGCCACCCACGGCAGAATCAAAGAAGAGGGCAACGCACAATGGCCAACGCCCCCACCCCGCAGATGTAGATTGATTGATCTATAATTTCCTAATCTAAAATAATCAAAAGGGATATATAAAAATATATATATATATATACATATATATATATATATACATATATATAATATCCACATATATCCACTATAAACATCCATAAATCCAAATTAGCCTAGTTATATACCAACTTGATCCAACGGCTGCCTATCGTCCGGGAAACGGGAATCATCGCTGGTTTTTGTTGGGGACGGTCTGATCCAAGGCCCAAAAAGGCCAAGTTGGGGTCCCGTTTGCGACAGCTAAGTTGGTGAACATATGTCCAATATGCTTTATGGCAATTATAACAACTATAGACTATAGACGATGGTGCTAGAGTCGATCTACGGTTTATGTCAGTAATAGATGGATGATATATGATATGGCTAATGGTTTATCTATGGTTGTTATATATGTCAATTATCTATGGCTTATCTATGGCTAATGGATGTTAATGGGTGTTATGAAACGACTTCTAACTTGCGGGGGCCCACCTTGTAATGCAACGAACCAAGAAACTTCGACCTGCAGAAACTGTAACATTCGCTGCCTTGGAGATCAACGGGGGCATGAGCCAAGCATAATTTAGTTCAAGCAGGGTTTCTTCATGTTTGTCACATCATCTCACATCTATGCATTTAAATAAATAAATGTATATATATATATATATTAAAAATATTCCTATTATATACTGATAAGGATTTACCAGTACCAGTGGATCACCATGTTTATTTATTAACAACACACACACATCAGTTGGAATGCAGATTCCATCGCTTCACTGGCTCCTCAACTTGGCCATGCATGCTGTCCGAGCGACACTTCGTGCGCGGGATTCAGTTTCAGCAGTTCGTAGTACACCAGCATCGCCTTAAATGGTGGTTTCCTAAAATGGATCTCCCCCAAATCATCCAAGTCATTAGACCATGACTTAACATTTCGTCCTAGTATTTCATCCAAATTTACCCATTATATCATTATTTTTGGGTAAACACCCATTTTAGGAAACCCCCCAACTGGGAGCCCTTCAGAAATCTTCACAGCCTGGGGCGTTCCCACTTTGCATTGGCATCTATAAAACCACATATTTTCACAACATGATTTATAAATATTGACAAATGATAATTTATAAATGTACTAGTAGCAATCATACATCATGGGATCACTATTCATGTAAAACCACCAGCTGTTCTGTCCATCCATGCTGCCAAGTAGCTGGTCGTACTTGCGCCTTGGAAATGGTTTGAGGCCCCGAGTTGGCTTATGGAACGCCATAAAAAAAAGGAAGCTGCAATTCCACTTATAAGGGGCTATATAACCACAATAAGAAGGGTTACATCAAGTTATATCCCAAGATATGAAAGTTAACGTATATGGTAAAATCCCCCTGTTTATAAACACTGTAGTAACCCCAACTGCATTCCCAAGTGCTGGGACACTTGCTGCTTTTCCGGGATCCAGTTGTTTCACCAAGATCGCCAAGAGTCAAAGTCCCGCCAGCTGCGATAGAAATTCCTGGGAGCCACAATGGCGTGTAATGTGGCAAACATAATTCCATAAACCATCCCCAACATCAGTATTCGTATGGGGATTGAACCATCCCCAGATGCTAGGTTTATGGCATTGGGTTTCCCAGGTTCTCTT